ATTTCACTTAGCATAATGTCCTCCAGGTTCATCCACGTTGTCACAAATGGTAGGATGTTGTTCTTTTTTATGCTGAATGGTATTCCACTGTATGTATGTGCATCTTCTGTATCCATTCAGCTGTGGCTGGGTGCTTGGGTTGCTTCCCCGTCTTGGCTGTGGTGATAATGCTTCAGTGAACATCAGTATCTCTTTGAGGTACTGACTTCGTTTCCTTTGGGTACATATTCAGAAATGGGATTGCTGGAGCACATGGTAGTTTTACTGTTAATTTTTTGAGGCATCTCCGTACTGTTTTCCGTAGTGGCTGCATCAGTGTACGTTCCCACCAACAGTGCGTGAGGATTCCCTTTTCTCCACATCCCGCCAACACTCTCTCTCCATCTTTTTGATGAGAGCCATCCTAACAGGTGTCAGGTGATAGCTCATTGTGGTTCTGACTTGCATTTCCCTGATGATTGTCGATATTGAGCAACTTTTGACCATCTGTATGTCATCTTTGGAAAAATTTCTATTCAGTCTTTTGCTGATTTTTGAATTGGGTTGTTTTTTTTGCTAGTAAGTTGTATGAGTTCCTTATATATTTTGGATATTAACCTCTTATCAGATGTATGCTTTCCAAATATGTTCTCCCATTCTGTAGGTTGTCTCTTCACCCCATTGATGGTTCCCTTTACTCTGCAGAGCTTTTTAGTTTGGTGACATCCCACTTGCTTTCTGTATTATTATTATTAGGAAATAGTCCATAGAAACTCAATGCTGTGGGAAGATTAGATTCCAGATTTCCATTTCAACTAGTATAATAAACTCCATCGGAGAACCCCCAAAGTGGGGAAAAGAAATACCCTTTTACATTGCTGGGGTTAGGCGCTGGCCCCGTGGCTGAGTGGTTAAGTTTGCGCACTCCACTTCAGCAGCCCAAGGTTTTGCCTGTTCACATCCTGGGCGTGGACATGGCACTGCTCATCAGGCCATGCTGAGGCGGCGTCCCACATAGCACAACCAGAAGGACCTACAACTAGAATATACAACTATGTACTGGGGGCTTTGGGGAGAAGAATAATAATAAAAAAAGATTGGCAACAGATGTTAGCTCAGGGCCAATCTTTTAAAAGAAAACCCAAAACAACAACAAAAAACATTGCTAGGGTTGGAGAACGACTAACTCAGATTTCTGAACACACACTGAGGTTAATTCTGAAGGAGTCCACATTCTGAATGTGAGGAGAAACTCTTTAAAAAAGAAACTAAAATCCTTTTAGGAGTGAAATAGAGAACATAGCTACCCAGAAAATAAAAAATGCTAAAATGGAAGAGAGTTCTTTTAGAAAAATCAAAGAACTATATCAGACATAAAACATCCATAATGTTTCAATTTTCAAGTTTTGTAACTAAAGGCCCACACATGAGCAGCAAGTTAGTGGGGTAGGCAAAGGCGCCAGATGCACAGAGCGCAGCTGTGTGGGGAACCGACACGAGGGGTTTGTTGCTCCCTCCATGGTAAGTGGTGGGGAGCACGAGGCTGCGTGGCTGGCAGCGTCACAAGAGGGGCGAGAGCTGTGGAGAGCAGCTCCATGCCCACAGCTGCAGGCATCTGGCAACAATTTGGAGAAAGCAAAACCAACAGTGACAGTTCAAAAAACAAACGCATACTCAACTGGGCTGGCGTGGCGTGGCAGGCCTCCCGACACCATTTGCCAGAAGCAGGAAAGCACCCTGTACGGGCCTGGAAAGCGGCTGCGTCTGCACTTTGCAGGATGAAGTCTAAAGAAAGAATTCAAAAACGGGGATGAGTCGAAGCGGATGGCGTGCGGCCCTGGTGCTACGAGCAGTCGTGCACGTGCCCGGGCTCCAGGCATGGAGCAGACTCGCGGTCCAAGCCGCAGGGTTCCTGGGGTCCCAGCCCAGGGAGAGGGTCCCAGACGCTGTGCGTGGACAGTTGCTGCTGCCCGACATGGCCCGCGCTCAGGGGCCTGCAAGGGGCTGTTCAGATCAGCCTGCACCGGAGAGTCCTCCGAGGACCTCGCTGGGAAGTGGCCCCACAGTCAGGCACAGGAAGGATTCGTTATGGAGAAAGCCCAGGATCTGGAGCTGGCTGTGTTGTCTGACCTTCAGTGGCTTGGTTTTCAGTTCTCTAAGCCTCGTCGTCTTGTCACCATAAAGGACAGATAATAATTCCATTGCATCTTAGCCTTCCGTAGATGACGTGGCTGGTTTCACGCTGCGTGGTGTGTTAACTGCTTTAACTGGTAGGTTTCCACACTGGCCCTTGCAGATCTGGACAGGAAGTGACGTAAAGCGAAAATAAGAGGACGCATGGCTGTGTGCACGCGTTATCCAGCACTGCAGAAACGCCTGGGGGCTCAAGTTAATTGGCTAGTTGGGGGAAATAAGGGGACCAAGAAATAATATTCCTTTTTTCACACTTTGGGAAGGAGCGCAGAGACAGACAGATGGACGCTGGAGTGCCGGCTTCATCGTGGTAACAGTTGGACGAGACGGGGCCTCTGCACTGTCTTCCCTATGGATCCCTTTGGTGGCCTGGTGAAGGCTATGGACCCTTCCTTAGAATTTAACGTTTTAAATGCATGAAATACAGAGGATTATGGAAGGCCCTGGTTGTAGGGAAATACAGGGATATGCACACTTCTTCGCTTCAGTGAGCTATTAGACAAGTTCCAGCAGCAGGGCTGATTGCCGCCATCGTCCCAGGTGAGCGATTGCACAGGGTGCCTGCAGGCCGTGCTGTCTGGGAGCTGAGATGAGAACGCCTGTGGTCGCAGGGGGCCCAGCCTCCAGGTTCGGCTGATCCCATGAGGTTTGTTGCCTACACTGATTGTTGGAGGAAACGTCACATGCAGTTGGAGGTTAGTGGAAGTGACCAAATCTCATCCAAATTCATAGACCTCCCTCCCTCCTGGATTCCATCCCTGGGCCCCAGGAGGTCTGAGGACCCCAGGTGGAGACCTGCTGGATGGGCTGAGCAGCTTCCTAATTAATGCCGCCCCTGAATGAGAATGACCCCCCACCGCCTCGCCTTGGGTGCAGCCAGACAAGGGGGTGGATTGGGGGTGCAGGTGCAGGACCCAAGGGGGAGGTTCCCGCCTGGTGGGTGGCAGGCAGAGTCATCCTCCACCCCTCTGAAAGGGTCAGCCTGGGAGTCTGAGCAAGTGGTCCCTTCCTCCTTCCCCGGGAGGACTGAGTGAGGAGCTCTGGACTGTGTCTCTCTGGTGTGGGTTGGCGTCAGCCCCCATGTGTCATATTATTGCCACGTTAGCCCAGTGATCCGCGAGGCTGGGCCCAGAGTGAGGGGTGATGTGGTTGGCCCTCATCAGTGTTCCCTCGAGGAGCCACCTGACCAGTCCTGGTGCAGGGTCCCGGCCGGTGTTTTCTCCCAGTATTGCTGAGGCGAGGCGGAAACAATGGCTAGCCAGGGAGGCATGGTGAGTGGAGGGCTGAGAGCACCTCTCTTCACTCTCTGGGAGCCCGGGGCGGGGGAGCAGGGTGGTGGTTCTTTTACCCAAACTCTGTGTTGTCAAAGGGTCCTGTCAGGGGCCCGGTGGTGCAACGGTTAAGTTCATACATTCCACTTCAGTGGCCCAGGGTTCGCTGGTTCGGATCCTGGCTGCAGACCTATGCACCACTTGTCAAGCCATGCTGTGGCAGTTGTCTCACATAGCAAGTAGAGGAAGACAGGCATGGATGTTAGCTCAGGGCCAGTCTTCCTCAGCAAAAAAGAGGAAGATTGGCAACAGATGTTAGCTCAGGGCTAATCTTCCTAAAAAAAGAAAAAAGAGGGTCCTGTCTGAGCCTGTGTTCCTGTGGTGCCCAGTGCTGGGCTCTGGGCTGTGTGTCCCTCTCGAGGCAGTGACCGCGGGCCCTGTGTCCCAGTGTTCCTGGCAGGCCGAGCAGAGCCCCACCATCCTCCCTGGGGCCGCGCTGGAGGCCAGAGTGAGGCGAGCGCTCCCCGTCTCCCCACCCAGTCTGCTGCCGTCAGAGTCATCGAGAACCTTCCGCGGACACCCCAGAGAGGTGGTGAACGGTCTGCTGTTGTAACGTTCCTGCTAGGTTCCCCGTGTCCTCCCTCTTGACGTGGAAGTGTCCTCTCTGCATAGACGTCCTGGAAGTGATGTGTGCGTCGGTAGCGGTTAGGTTCTTTTTTCGCTCGTAGTCAGTCAGGGGCGGGACGGTTTATTTTCGGAGACACAGGGCATGGGGTCTGCTGCAGCCTCACTGCCTGGAGGACGTGGCGTCAGCAGACGGGCTGGGCCCTGCGTCCTCAGTCCCACTTGGCCACGACCGTCTCCTCCCTGCTCCTGGGACCCCGTCCCTCTCACACAGCCAGGAGCTGCGTCCCTCCCCGTGCACAGTCCCTCTGTGGTCACAGGCCGCCCAGCGGCATCTGGCTGCGCCCTGTCCTCTCGTGACGAGGGTCAGAAACCACGTCACGGTAAGGAACTCCCAAGGCCAGTGGCAGAGCGTGGAGCAGCGACTGCAGGGCAGACGGGCTCTCTCCCCTCGGCCCTGTCCCGCAGACACTGGGACTGAACATGGAGAGTCCTCGGGGAATCTGCGGGAAAAGTGCTAATAGTGAGTTTTGGAAACAGCGCAAAGCTTTTGGTAAAAGTCCCTGATTTCTTTTTTCTTTTTTTTTAAAGATCAGCACCTGGGCTAACAACTGTTGCCAATCTTTTTTTTTTTTTTCTGCTTTATCTCCCTAAACCCCCCGTACATAGTTGTGTATCTTAGTTGCAGGTCCTTCTAGTTGTGGGACGTGGGACGCCGCCTCAACGTGGCCTGACGAGCGGTGCCATGTCCGTGCCCAGGATCCGAACCCTGGGCCGCCGCAGCAGAGCACGCAAACTTAACCACTCAGCCACAGAGCCGGCCCCAGTCCCTGATTTCTTGATGTGTGGAATCAGCTCACACACTGTAGTAAGTACCAGCCTCCGAGTGAAGGGAAAGCCTCACGGGCCTCTCCCTTTCTCTCCCTCGGGCAGGACTTCCTGAAGACGGCTTCACCCGACGTCTTCCGGCTCTTCTGCATGCGGAGCAGCTACAGGTCAGGTGAGCTCAGGCACGGAGCTCAGGGCATGGCCCGGCGTCCGCTCGGCGTGGCCCCGAGAGTCTGGTGGCGTTTGGGGCTGCCGGCATCCGGTGAGCAGTGAGCACGGTCTTGTTAGTGCGCTTGCTCTTATGCCTGAGGGTTTGGGTTCCGAATGCGAGCCCGAGGATGCACTGTTAGGAAGCATAAGCCCCGTACTCGGCTAGAAGGTTCTGGAAAGTTATCTCATGGAGGCTGTGGGTTTTCCAGTCGGTCCTCCCCTTCCTCTCCCTCTCTGGGGCTGGACTCTTCTGAACCCCGTAGCACCTCCGCTCCCTGCTTCCTGCACTGGAAATGATGGAGCTGGCCATCCTTGCACAGAGCCTGAGCCAGGAGCCCTCAAAGCGGGGGCCCGCCCAGGGTAGGCCGTGCCCACCAGGCCGCGCTACTGCGTGCTGCTGGGGGGGTCATCTAGTGCTGTGTCCCCAGGGCCAAAGGGCTCTTCCACCCAGAAGGCGAGGTCCGGGGCACTGCCCTGTCTGGCTCGACCACTAATGGCAGTGTGGCCTCTGACGTCTGTGACTGGCGCTGGAGAAGGAGCAGGTGCCCTTGAGGGACAGGTGGGCTCCTCAGCTTGTGCACTGGGCTCGACTGGGTGACTGGAGGCAGAGATTGGGGTAAAGTAGCCACCAGCCAAGGAACACCTGGGTCCCCAGAAGTTGGAAGAGACAGGAAGGACCCTCCCTGGAGCCTCTGGAAAGAGCACAGCCCTGCCGACACCGCCATCTCAGTCTTTTCGCCTCTAGAAAAGTGAGAGAATAAATCGCCGTTTTGTGGTACTTGGTCATGGCAGCCCCAGGATACCAACAGGGCCTCCAGCGGGCACTCTGGCTGCGCCCCTTCTGCGGTGGCTTGGCTGTGGGTGTCTGGGCCCTGGGTGGCCAGCCCAGGCGGAGCAAGCGTCCTGAGAGCTGCTCCACGTTCTCCAGACGCCGGGTCTGAGGACCAGTCCTCTTCCTCCCGAAACTCTGAGCCAAGTCCTTGCTGCACCACTTGGCTGCTCTCCTTGGAGGTGCTGCAGGCCCCAGGCAGACCTCTCCGCTTCCCAGAGCCCCTTGTCTGTCTGTCCGTCTGTCAGTGGGGAGGACCCCCTCGGCTAAACCTACTGGGAGAGGTCTCCCGTGCTTCCTCCGAGGTGGTGAGACCCGAGCCAGGACAGGGCCTGGCGCCTGCGTGGGGCGGGCCGGGGAGCACTGTGTCCTTGCTCCTCTGCCGGGTTTCTGGTCATGTGAGGATGGCCTGGCTGAGGAACGCAGGGTCTGAGGGCGTGGGCACCTGGCGGCCCCCAGTGACCACCCCCCTCCCCCCCGCAGCCATTGACTACAGCGACGGCGCCGTGCTGGAAGCCAAGCACCTGCTCCTGGCCGCCACCGCCTTCGTCGAGGACGCGCGGGCCTACATGCGGGGGCAGCTGGCGTGCGGCCCCATTGGGGAGGACGTGCTGTGGGAGAGGTAGGTGCCATACGGGGCCACTCACTGCTTGGGCGCCAGCGTGGGGCTGCCTGAGAGGAAAGCTCGGCTTCGGGAACTGAGGGCACTTCCTCACCAGTGCTGGCGCAGGAGCCCCCGGGCAAGTCTGTGGTCCCCCTGGGTGAGACACGAGGAGGCCCTGCCTGCAGGGGCTGCAAAGGTTACAGATGACATCCGTGCCCACTCCCCGTTCTGGCTGGTGTTTGTTAGTGTGTAATAAATGGAGGCTCCCGTCACGAGTTCCTAGTTAGAGGAAGACCTCCAGGTCCGTGGACGAGCTGGACATTGACGAGAGGAGGCGGGTGGGGACACGGGTCTGCTGACTAAGCTCCAGCCCACATCAGGAATTGAGGAGCGAGTCTGCGGGAGTCTCGGGTGCTCCCCCACTGCCGTCGCCCAGGGAGAACAGACCCTGGCGGTCGTGACCCGCCTGGGCTGTGCCCGCGGCTGCGGGTGGCCCGGTGAAGGAGCTGCAGTGGACAGTGAGCAGGAAGCAAGAAGGGACGCCTGGTGCGCCTGACCGTCAGTACGGAGAGTGTTTCCAGTCCCCGTGCTTCCTTAGATGGTCTCCCGTGTTTATCCTTGTTTTATTATCTCCGCCGAGTGTGAAAGGTTGGGGCCTGACACTGGAGATGGTGGAAACTGGGAAAGCTTCTGGAAGCTAGGGAAACAGCTGTCTGGAGATGAGGAGGGCGTTTCCTGGACACTGATGGCGGGCTGGGGACTGCCTGTGCTCGGAATGCCATGGGACACGTCCCCCTCCCTTGAGTTCCTGGGAGGGTGAAGAACCCTGGACTCAGTGGGCAGGTGGGGAAGGGCGGGTACCTGGATAGGACAGGACAGGGCTGCAGCTGAGTCAGTTACAGCCGTGGGAGCCCAGGGGACAAAGCCCGGAGCGCTGGGTGGGACACTTTGGGTGTCTGTGTGGCTGAGAGCTGTCGGCACGACTCAGCAGCCCCGGGATGGCAGGTGCCAGGGAGGGACCGTGAACACTGTTTTGTCACTTGGGAGGGTCCCAGGCTGGAGAGCAGCGCCATCTCACCATCGAGGGTGTCAGGCCAGAGGGAAGAGTGTTCTGCAGGCTTTGCCTCCACACTTCTGGGGGCGGCTGGACGGGGCCTGCTGCCCGCTCACAGCTGAGGGGGCTGCCGTGGACAGGCCAGGGAGGGGTCTGTGTTCTCAGGACTCAGCAGAGGTTCCAGTCCTGTGGGGCCCGGGGCCCCTCAAAGCCGGGCACTCAGTCTGCTGCCCAGAGAGGTTTCGGGCAGCTCCCCGGTGTGGGTGGAGCCCGAGTGGGAGCAAAGCGTGACCGTGGCCAGGACTGTGGGACGGTGAGACAGCCAGGCCCATGGAGACTGCCGCTGCTGACCCACTGGCTGGACTGCAGCCCGGGCCAGCACCCTCCCACTCATGGGGTCCTGAGCAGCGGCTCCAAGCCTTCATGTGACAGCATCCGCATGGTTCAGTCAGTCAGAACACAGCATTCTCTCACACTCTGCTTCATCGCCCACTGTCCAATTTTTAAACCATTATGAAGTGCCCCCTGTTGCTTTGTGTTCACACACACTTCCAGGTTCCCCACTCTGGGATTTTGAGTAATGGGACAATTTTGAGTTGATCTCATCTGGTTAAGACTCTGTTACTTGTACGGGTCTTTGTGGACGTGACCGAGAAAGGGTCCAAACACAGAATCACTCAAGCTGCTCCTCCCGGGAAGGACCGGCCGGGCACCCCTCCTCCTGCTGCCGCGGGTCCTGGGAGCACCTCACGCCTTTCTTTTTCCTACCCTCCAAGGCTCAGCCACACCAAGGGGGCTGTGAAGGCTGCCCTGGCGGACGACTTTGACACGCCTGGGGCTGTGGACGCCGTCATGGACCTCATTCACCATGGGAACAGACAGCTCAAGGCAGTCACCAAGGTAACTCTGAGGACAGGGCCCCAGAGGGGGGTTTGTTCGGTCAGTTTTTTCTCCTGAGGAAGGAACAGATCCCACCTTGCCAGCTCCCTGGGGAGACTTCACTTCCCAGAGCGGGCGGCCTCTGGCTTCTCTGACTGCCTTTCCTTGAGTTCCTGGAGCTGCTGCAGCCCACACGTGGCCCGCCCGCAGGCCCCGCAGAGGAGGCAGCTGCCGCCCGGAGCCGGGAGGCGTCGGTTTGGGTACAGGTGGGGCACAGGGAGGTCCCGCACACTGACGGTCAGCATGCATGTTGCCAGCACAGAGCACATAACCCTCCTGTTCACTCAGGTGAACCCGGCGGAATCTGAGTTTGTTGCTAAGACATGGAATGGGGGAGGAAGCTGTGTGTTGGGACCCTGACTCTGTGCCCACCCAACCCGGCCTTCTCTGGGCCTCAGCGCCAGTCCCATTGATGAGTCCGCCCTCATGACCCAGGGACTCCCAAAGGTCCAGCTGCTAACACCATCACACTGGGGGCTGGGGGTCACCATATGAATTTGGGGGATGCAGCACTCAGACCATAGCACACCCCCGTGTTACAGATGGGTAAACTGAGGGGCAGGGTAAGTGACTTCCCCACAGTCACTTGCTTTGTGGGTGGGTGGCAGCTCCGGGATTTCGCCCGGTGTCTCCGCTAGGGCTTGTGTCCTCACTCCACGGGACGCTGGAAAAGCGGCAGGTGGAGCGACTGCGAGGTCTTCCTTCTTTTCCGTCAAGTTCCTCTGCTTCTAAAGAAGCTTCTTGGGGTGGTTTGTCGCAGGAGCCTGGTGGTCCTAGGAGTCCCGCTGTGTTCGGCTCCATCGTGTCCTACATTGAGCAGTTTTTTGAGACTGTGGGGATTTCTCTGGCAGACCGACAGGTACGCCCTTCTCTTTTCAGTCCTCAGTTGTGGGATTCTCTCTGTGTGCTAGTGTGATAACTGGCTTTTCCCCTTTTAAAATGTTCATTTTAGTGGATACTAGCAAACTGCGGCAATCCTGTGCAGAACTGCGTCCACTTAGCTACAGGGCGCTTTGTCGTCAGTTCTGCACGCACTCGTTTTTGTGTTTATCTTGAAAGAATCTTGAGATGTGCAGACAGCTGGCATGCAGGGTGAGAACGTTTTTCCTGAGCCATCTGAGAGCAAGCTGCTAGCCGAGCCCCTCGGTGTGCCCCCTGCAAACGGGGCCCCCATCCTCTGGTTCTGCCCTGTACGGCAGGAGGGTCCCCTTCAGAACCCAGTGCTCATCTGGTACTTTCTCTGCACCAAGCCAGGCGGCGGCAGTTTCTCCGAGGGGCCGGGTTGCTGCCGCAGAGGAGGGTATCACAGGGAGCATCTGAGCGCCCATATGCTCCCTGCGCTTGGGCCACAGCTGCTTGGGGCCCTCGGCGGGCAGAGCCAGGAATGTGTGCACACGCTATCCAGCTGTGTCTGAATGGATCTCATTGACTGAAACCCCAGCGTTACCTCCCACACATCAGTTCTAGTCCCCCAGCAAAGGGTTCACTCTGCGTTCCCCGTTTTCCGTACATACTCCTCTGATGGTGAGAAACCTGCCTTCCAGGATCCTAAATGCAGTAACCTGTTCTCCCCGAGTGCGGGCAGCCTCCCACCGCCGCCCCCCCCCCACCCCCCTGTCAGCCTCCATCCCCCTCACAGCAGGCTGCCCTCTGCACAGATGCTTCCTTGGGCTGTGCCACCCCACACCAGACCCCCCACCCCATGGCACCCTCCTCTTCCTCCACAGGGCCACCTTGCTCTGCTACACCTAACAACTTTAGGACTGTTCAGGACGGGACAGGAAAGGGCTAAAATACCCATTTTAAAAACATTTTATGTGACCAGGTTGTCAACATGTAAGGTCTAGACTGCAGACGGGAGTGACCCTATCACAGGAGTGGTGGAATGGCTCACTCTTCCCAGATTCCTTTACGGCGCTGCCCCGTTCTGCCACCATAGGGGCTTGGGCACAGCCCAGCTGCTCCCTGCTTCCCGGGGGGCTGCCACGCTAGCCCAGCTGCCTGGCACCCAGAGCTCCCGACGCCTGGCTGCCCTCTGCCCTGAGCTGGGGCATGGCTCTTGGGACCTTGACTATTGTGAAGTTCTCTGGCCTTAACACAAAGAATTGCAGCATCTTTGTGACGATTTTCAAGTTTGGTTTACCGACAGACGTGGCGATTCCCTGGCAGACCTGTGTCCTCTCCTGGGCAGTCCAGGGTCTGTCAGCCAGTTCGTATAAAAATCTAACTCACTCGTCTGAAGTAACCAAGTTTCTGCAAGGTCTGTATTCATTTCCACAGGAGACTCTCCGGAGTCTGCTGGTGAGTAAGACCAGGCATATTCGGCCAAGCTGTGCCTGGTCCTTGGCACAACAGCTCACTCACCGCCCCCACCTCACGGGTTGACATTGGAGCCCGCTTTGAGCTCACATCCCGTAATAAGAAAAACTCTCTTTCATTGTGGAAGCAACTGAGGATCACATGAGGTCGAAGAAGTTGTTCGACCCAAAAGTTGTAAAATGTGAGTTCTGTTTCTTCTTTTAAACACGGAACATAAACAGCCGCTAGGATCCTTGCTCCAGGATGGAGGAAGAAATCGTGTTGTGGGGGAGAGGACTCCTGGCAACTCGAGCAGTTCAGGTCCCAGCTGCCCCGCTGAAAGCTCTCCGGCTGGGCAGATTGTTGGTCCCGACTGCCGTGGAAGCGTGGTCTGTGTGAGCCTCATGGGAAGTCTGCGTTGGTCTGTGTATCTGGTTAGTGAGCAGGCTGGCTTCACTGTCAGTAAGGCTTAGACTTCTAGACTCTGCCTAGTGAACCGGAGAGGTCCGCACATCCGTGAAGCCGCAGCGCCCAGCTCCTCGCCTGAGTTCAGGATCGGAGGAGAGCTCCCTGGTCAGCTCCAGGCCTCACTGAGCACACTCTGACGAGGCCTGCAGCAGGCTAGGGAGCCTGCCTGGCTGGCTGACACACGCAGGCGAGGAGTGGACACTTGCCAGCAGCTCCGGCCCGGTGAGAAGAGCAGGCCACTGGTTCCCTTGCAGCCCTGGGGAGGGCGTGTGCTGGACTGGCTTGGCACGGAACTCACTCGGCCTCATCAGCTGGGCTGGGTCTAGGCTGCTGCCAGGGCCTCACTAGTCATGCTGCCTCGCCTGGGTGTAGTTTGTTTCAGGGGACAGCGGCTCAGCCACTCTGCACAGCGTGGTGGAGGAGCTGGTCCGGTTCCGGCTCAAGGTCCGGCAGTTCGCCCTGGCCACGGGGGAGGCCACCAGGGAGGCCCGGCGGCAGCAGCTCCTGGAGAGGCAGCCCTTGCTGGAAGCATGTGACACCCTGCGCCAGGACCTGGTCGCCCATGGCATCAGCATCAAGGTGAGCCCCTCCCACCAGGGTCCAGTGACAGTAGGAGTGATCACCCTGAGGTGCCGTGTAAGCAGCCACCACTGCACACAGGGGACAGTCAAAGCTCAGACATCCCACCATGCCGATGTGGCTTGTGAGCACACCCACCTTGTGACAAATTAGGAGGGACACTGAGACCCAGGGGCATGTGAGCTCACTCAGGGGTGTGTGGACACAGGAGCAGACCCATGTCCTTGCTCAGTGCCTGTCCTGCCCCAGGTGGCCCTGCTCTGGCCTTCGGCCTGTAATGGAGGCAGCAGTGTGACCATCTAAGCGTGCCACTGCCTCCTCCAGTACCCAGAGCAGTGGGAGCACCGGGCTGGGCAATTTGTCCTGGCACCCTAGGCCCCGACCCTCTCACCTCTTGACCCCGAGCCAAGTGAGTGCTCAGCCAGGACCTGGCCCTCTTCCTCCACAGGACAGGAGCAGCACATCCACATGGGAACTGCTGGGTCAGAGGGCGCAAGACCACAAACCAGGCAGCTGAGGACGTGTTCTGTGCCTGCTTATGACATGATACAAGCTTTATATTAAAGTTCCCCATCATGGCTGTTTAGTCAACAGTAAAATAAACTGATAATTAGAACTATGCCTAAAAAACGGATTTCTTTATAGTTCTGACAGCCACAGACACATGAGGTTTTAGTAAAATCAATCAGCCAACACTGTGGTCCATGATGCACCCCAGCTGGCCCTGTGCCCAAGGGTCTGACCGAGGGAGGAGTGTGAAACCAGGAGCCGGAGACCAGGATGAAAGTCCTGAAGGGGGCCCCAGAAGACGTCCTGGGAGGGGCAGGCAGGACCTGCAAACGGGGCCAATGGGGCAGCGGCTTCTAGGACACCCCTTATCCTGGGGGCCTCGGGGGATGCGGCCCTGCCACCTGGTCTGAAGCAGGAGGTGGCCCATCCCTCAGGTGCTGGGCAGTGCTGAACCAGGGGTGATGCCCAAACCATGGAGGCCCCCCCCCAGAGGTGACGATGTATTTTTACATTCATTTTCTTGTTATGATAGTAATATGTTAATCGTAGAAAAATATATATTGGCAGTAGGCACGATGTAGTATATTCAGAAATTGATAATGTACACCTGAAATTACACAATCTTATAAACCATCATGACCTCAATAATTTTTTTTAAATCATAGAAAAACACAGCAAAGAAAACCCTCTGTGGTGCTTGGATAGCTGTTTATCTTTATTCTCTTGAAGCCTTTTGAATAACTGGTTCCTGTGGTGTACCATCCTTTGTTGCCTCTGAGCAGACAGGGTGGGGCCGGGGCTGTGCTCCAGAGGTTAACTCTGGGTCTTGACAGTGAGAGCAAGACAGGTATGATGGAGGTGGCCAAGCTGGGACGGAGCTTGCTGGCGGCCTCGCTCTGGCTCCTGGCCTTTCTGTCACAGGCAGGGAGCTCCAGCTGTTCAGTGAACCAGCAGGAGATGAGCTGGCCCTCTTGCTGCCTCCCTGGCTCTCAGATCCTGCGCAGGCCCACCCTGCTGTCTGCCCTGTGAGGCTATCGTTGACTCATCCTGTGGCCCCCCCAGGCAGCAGGTAGGCACACGCCAGGACAGCTCGGCAGTCATGTTCACTTTGTCACTGACCTTCAGGACCCTGAAAAGGCACTGGGGTTCCTGTCTATAGATAAAGAACCCTATTCAGAAGCAGACTACCTAAGAGAGACCCAACTAGTGACTAGCGGAGGGAGGATCCCGGATGGCAGGGAGGCCCCTTATAAGGAGACATCCAAATCCGGTCAATTCCGTCCTGGGGGAGCAGACTGTCCCCCAACGGCTGCACGCCTAACTTGACCATCCATGCGTAGTTCTGTGCTGCTGTTCTGCTCTCAGGGACGCTCCCAGTAAGACACTGTCCTTAGCTGGAGCTGGTGAGCACACGCAGGTTTGTAAAAGAGCAAGGGAGCAATTACTCACTTCATTTAAACATAGCGGCCCCTTCACTAGTTGGGTTTACCCCCTATGTCCCTTAAGCAAAGGGGTTTTGTACTTAGAGCAAAAACTTAAATAACAAAAAACATAAGAATAGTTCCTGTGATTGCTGAATTCTATTTTCTGTGTAAAGCAATGGTTACATTTCAGGCTTATTCAAATTACTTCATTTTAACAATATTGGTAGGTACTGGTGAAATAACAATAGACACCCTTATATATTTTTATCTCCCTAGTACCTGACAATGTCCTCACTTAGGAAAGTTGAAAGGTGGGTTTTGGCTGTTTAAGAAAAAAATACAAAATTCTCCATTGAAATAAATCAGATAGTCCTTTTAATGGTTACCAAGATTTAGATGTAATTCCCCAAAGGAAAAAATGTCCACGACAGTTTTTCCGGAGAAGTTCACATATAGATAGCGAAGCTTCTACAGTTAGATGTGAAATAACAGTGGCAAACATATTTTAATAAATCTTAAAAGTTCATGACTGGTTTTACAGAAAATAGTGCCATTTGGGGTGAGGGGTTCGAATCGCAGTATCACCCAAGAGTGATGGTGAGGGGCAGAGAGACTCTCAGAGGCACCGGGCAGGTCTTGCCCCATGGAAGGCATGAAACAGATGAGAGTCCACTTAAATGCACGAGTTAGAAGCCACAGCCCGGCGAGAGGTGGCCAGAGAAAACAAGCAGCTCTCGGGCCACTGAGACAACCGCCCAATAAAAGCTACCCAGAGGCTAGCGAGACAGACGACTTATTTACAACTGCAGAGGCACCGCCTTCTTGAATGGCATCTAAGTCTTCCTGAGGACACACCCACTTCCAAACCAGGGGACCTGAGGTCCTGCTCCAGAAGCAGAGCAGACGTGATGACAATGTTCAGTCCCCGGAGCCTCCTTGGTGCCATCTCCCACCAGACCCAGTGCGCACGCCCTCCTTGCGTCCAGCATGTCTGCTTGCTCCCGAGAGTGCGCGCCGGTGGGCCCTGTCAGGAACAAGGCAGCACGACACTCTCGGCGTCCCTCCCCCTCCTGCGGCTCTGCTGGGCATGTCAGCCAGCACCCGGGCTTGGGGGGACAGACATGGAAGAGGGAGCGTGAGACAGGAGCGTTTCAGAGCCGCCACCCAGCATTCAGCTGTCAGTGTCCCATCAGGTTTCCTTGTCCAACTTTCCCATGGTGCCTCCCAAAGATTTCCAACGTCAACCTGGATTATTCTGAAGTACTCCAACCAATTAACCAACGTTTAGTATTTCTGCTCAAACGTTTTCAACCTAACTGTTTACAAACCAAAAATGAGTTGAAGAACGATTACTACATCCTTTGGGGGGGGGTCTCAGTTAAAAAAAAGCAAAACTCATTCACAGTAGATACAGTAGATATTTGAAAACCACTGACAGATCCCTTTGAGAGGAACCACTAATCAATTGGGAACTTTTTGCGTAAATAAAAGAGTAGGAAGCACGACAGCAGAGAGGATGAGAAGCAAGCTGAGGGAGATTCACACAGAACTCGGTGCTCCCGGAGCAAGCCCGCCCATGCAGCTGACAACGAGACAGACTTTCAGCAGCTCATGCGATTCCCTTCGTTTGTTCTTAGTTATTGTCGAGAGGCTAAGAAAGGTTCAGGAATAAAACATCTCCAACTACATATTAGTTTAGCCAAAAACCGTCACTTTCCAACGCTGAGATTTCTACATGAACCCGTGCAACCTAGACTTAGACCCCTCCCGAGCAGCTGCGCCGCTGTGTACCCAGAGGACAGGTGTGCTGGATGTGGATTTTCCCAGGACGAACACCACCTCCCCGTCGTGTACCCACGTCCCTCCATCTGCACCAGTCAGCTTTCAAAGAGCCTGGCGAATGCGGGTCCGACCTCTGCAACCATGTCAGTGGTGGTGGTGGAGCGGCCGTGCTTCTGGAAGGCCTGGTGGCTGCACTGCCTTGTGAGAGAGCACGCGCCGAAGGCAGCCACGAGGAGAGGGCTGAAACTGAAGGGAGAGGCGTCAGCAAGTCCGCAGCCCCCCAGCTGCGTCCGACATCAGCGCCTGCAGACAGCACAGGCTCCAGATTTCCCTGCCCTTTCCACCCGGGACCCCAAAGTGGCCAGTGTGAGAGGCCCCTGAGGGGAAGGCAGCTTCTACAGTTAGAGCAGCCATCAACCCCAATGGGAGACTCCCTGACAAGGCTGATGAGAAATACCTGCGTGCCTGGGGGGACTCAGACACAGCAGTGCTCCTCTGGTGACAACCAGACACCTAATGGTGGCAGCCTGAAAGTACCCTGCAGTGCCCAGGGCGGGAGGGAATATTCGAGATCTGAGAAGCAGGCTCTTGCTACCATTACTAGACTCACGCTACAGCCTCCCTGTCCACGTGCACACGCCCCCTGGGCCGGTTTGGGCAGATGCTCCCTGCCTGCTAGGTGTGCCGCGACCTCTCGGCCCTGCAGACCCGGGACTTCCCACCCAGCACGTGGAGCCACCATTGCACCATGATGAGTGGAGAAGAGAGAACCTGAGGCTCAGAGAGGTGGGACTGCCTGAGTTCCCTCACGGTGCTGCCTGACAACAGAGGGGGCCAGAGCCCCCGTCCCAGGATGCTGCTCCCTCTTAAAGAAAACAGGACTCTCAGGACAGCCTCCAAGGTAAGCTCGACCTCACCTCCACCCAGCGTGTTGCCAATTTTCTTATTGTGTTTTACAGACAGTACACACTGGTCCTTCTAGAACAGTGTTCTCAAACTTGGCTGCACGTTAACTCACTGGAGAGCTTTAAAAACTACTGACGCCCCAGAGCCCATCGGCATCAGGGGATGGAGCAGAGCCCAGACATGGTGCAGAGTTAAAAGCTTCCGAGGCCAGCATTCTGGGATCCACCCCTGCCCTGAGACCTCTCCCGCATAACACCAATATTTCATTTGGAATGTTCTAAGTGGCTACTGATTAAATGTATGAGCTACTGAAATATCTTACACAATTCAAAAATCTCAAAGTAGGACAGATGAAGATGTGGCCATACCCATCTGTCTTCTCGGGTCCAGCGAGGAGTGCCCAGTGCACCAGGACTCCCAGGGAGCCTGACAGGAGGTCTCCTTGCCCTCCACACCTGCGGCTGCTGCCTTCCTGGCTGCACTCGAGCACTGTGGAGCACAAGTTAGACGGGCGTTAGAGCGGGTGACGGTACCGCCGCTGGCTGCTCTCTGCTTGAGGAATGTTCATCATCTGCAGCTCTCCCTGTCTGTTCTTAAGGGGGCAGCCTCTCTTTCATAGGAGAGGACACCATGAGGGGAGGTTGCCAGAACCGCCTGTGTGGCATGGGGTGTCACTGGGGATGCCTACAACTCAGCGTCCCCAGGGGACCTGCTAGACAGAGTGGGAGAAGAGTGCAGGCACACACGAGTCCTCAGTCCCTCAGGCCCGAGGCTACACCCACAGGGCACCTCACACTCCAGGGACCGTGCATAGTGCCAGCACCCTACCTCAGACTCAGCCCATAACTGTTAGGATGTCATTTATGCTGTCCAATGAGCACTTCTGTTCTTTAGAAAATGTCTTGAAAATGGGTTGTTACATTCTCTGAATGTGCTTGAGTCTAGAGCACCTTCCAGCTATAAAAGAACCCAAAGCTTTCAAGGTCCCTCGGTGAACACCCTGCATTTCCTGTCCAGCATGTGTGAGAGAAAGTGAGTGTGTGTGAGTGCACACACACGTGCCTAAGTATGCCTCCTGTTCTCTGTTGGCCCTGACTTCCGTGACCTAGCCAGCAACTCTACCCCTAGGCAACAACTCTTTGTGTTAAATTCTCTGTTAAAATAACCACTGTGCTTTTTGCCTCCAGATTGAGTTTTTATTGTTCCTTTGGGGCAGGAAGATTGGCCCTGAGCTAACATCTGTACCCATCCTTCTCTATTTCATTTGTGGATCGCCACCACAGCATGGCTTGATGAGTGGTGCATTAAGTCCACACCCGGGATCCAAACCTGCGAATCCGGGCCACCAAGGCAGAGCACACCAGACTTAACCACTACGCCATGGGGCCGGCCCCAGATCAAGTTTTTAATGAAGGGAGCCTTCCTGTTTTCAGGAAGCTGGAGATAGTATACAGTCAATCCTGGTCATGCATCTCACTGTGCAGACACAAGTGCTGACGGCGCATCTTGAGCGCTCCACCCATGCCTGCGTCCTGCTCCTGCTCAACGGTGCACAGGCTCCGGGGGAAGAACACAACTGGAAGAGTCACCACATCCGGCACCTGGTGACTCCCAGCACTAGTGTCAGCTCCTGGGGTTTCTTCATCTTCCAGTCATTTTTATAAATGAGAACAAAATGCCACAAAATATTCAACTAACTGTGTCTATGCTGTAGGCAAGATGGAGACAGCCCGGGGACCCTGGAGCACCCCCTGTGGTGACAGCCGCCTTCCCACTGGCTGTTTCTTATAACCACTGACAGAACTGGAGCCACAGCACCTGGTATCAACTCGGATCAGCACTCGTCGCTGTCACGTCCCTTGGCAAAACAGGAAGTCCTTCTTTGTGTGGAACACATATGAACATGTGTGAAACACATGTTCTGTGTATGATGTGTGCAAGCATGTGTCACATGAGTGCGTGTGCTGTGTGAGCATGTGTGTCATGTGTGAATGAGAGGTCTTCCTAGGGCTCGTGCTCAGCGTGATCATGCTGGCTGGCTGACACAGGGCAAAGCCCAAGGCCACTCACCCTGTCTGCCATCAGAGATCACATCCCGCTCCCCTTTCCGGACCACGGTCACATTCCCCAGGGCCTGGCTGAGCCTCAGCACAGCTCCGTGGGGATCACTGCTGTCCAAGGGGTCTCTCAGCTATGACACAGGACACACAAACAAGGTTGTCATCAGACACGTGAAAGGAGCCCACAATCATGGACACAACGCACAGATCCTGCCCCTCAGGCTCTCACATCAGGGAGAAGTGCCCAGGCACTTGCTGATGGCCGGGCTCTCGCCCCACCCGCGGAGACGTAAGTTCCATCCACCAGCTGGAAGGAGGCCCACAAGGTAGTGGGTAGCAAGTCCTCCGGGCGGACGCCGACACCAGCTCATGGCAGAAATACTGCTCTGGGGCCCACCGCAGCTTGTCAGACCAAAATCAAAAGAACTCTGCCCATAGCTGGGATTTTAAGGGTTTGCAGAATGATACAACTTCGAACCATAGCGAGTTACCATTTATGGGGTGGCACTTAATATGCAAGGACTCAGAGATTTACATGCATTGTTTCATTTCGTCCTCAAAGGCCTGCTGAGACAGATGCCCTCGTGATCCACATTCTACAGACAAGGCAACGCAGGGCAGGGACACAGTGATCCACCCAGCGTGCACAGCGGGAGGGGCTGGCTGATGCCAGAGCCCCCCACCACCCTTTATCCAATCCAAGACGCACGGATTAGAAGATGCTCCGTCATTACATGCAGCACCAAGAAAAACCACACTGTTAGCACGTGAGAAACATGCATCACAGAACGCACTGTCCACTCGCCATCTGCACGTCAGTCCTGCGGATGCGCGGGGGGACGAGCAGGGGCAGAACCGCAGCGCGTGTCTGTCACCCTCCTCAGGACGAGGAGGGCTTCGCCCCGTCTTTCAGGTGGTCGGCAAACTCACCACGGCTTCCGAGAGTCTCCTGAACTCCGCGTGGTTGGGCGTGAGGACAGCCTTCTGATAGCCCTGGATCAGCGCCGGCTGCTCAGCGATCAGCCACAGCCCATCCTGCAGGCAAGGACGCGTGCTTACTGCATGGCCTTGGGGCCTGGCTGTGAGGAGGGGATGGGAGAGGAGAGGCCACACTCACTGCATCGATGACGACGGGGACATCTCTGGCCTTCGACGCTTCTAAAATGCCCTGCAAGAAAAGAAAGCTACGCTGAGCACCAAGGCCATCGCCTCTCAAGGAATTAAAATAAAACTGAGCAGTTCCGTGATGAATTACAAGTAACTAGAAAATAATAAAGTAAATGCATAAAATAAACAAAAAAGACCCAAATGAATCAGAGTCCCTTTGTGAAGCAGGGCACTGGAACTCTGAAGACATAAGCCCATGGGCAATGTTATACACAGCACTGGGTCCCAGGCTAGTCCACAAAGGCTGACCCCAAGCTAGCATCTCCAGATTTCCAATAGATGCTAACACTCAGGATTCAGAGAGGAGAAACCTGAAGTCTTGGGAAGTCCCCAAATCATTAGTTTTTATGTATTTTTCATAAGACTTTGTGTTTTAAAATAAGGAGCAGTCACAATAATAAACAGTAAATCATTTCTTTCTGAAAAGGTTATACTAAAAGTTTCAAAGGTTTTTTGCTAAAAAAAGTTATATATATATGATTAACATATGGTTGCTTATTTTGATGAACCAGTATTTTATGACGATTATATATTGCAATAGCATGTAAAAATGATCTCTACCTGATACAGCCACCTGATAACAGAAAAAATTTAAAGAAGAAAACAGCGAAACAAAATACATGCTAAGTAGGAATAATCTAAAACACTGAAAGATAAATGCACATCTACTTAATTAACAGTTAGCATCCTGGAAGTGCCATGTGACAGCCCACAACGCACAAGCCACCCTCCCGACAGCCTCTGTCATAGTTGCTGACACTGGGGTGTCCAAGAGCCCCTCCCGTGAGCTCTGTGTGCGGAGCCTCCCAGAAGCTTGCCTCCTGCTCTAACAGTGACAGTGCTCTGTCTGCTTGCCTTTATGTGAACACTGACTTGGCTTTCGCTGATTCAGATTTCCTCAATCTCTAGTTTCACGTTGCAGTGTTTGGCCACAACACTGACATCTCCGTCTCTCCGTACTTCTCCCCACGCTGACCTACGGATTCGACATAATCCCGACCAAAATCCCAGCTGCCTACCTGCAAGTTCACAAGCTGATCCTAAAACTCATGGAAATGCACAGGACCCAGAGTAGCCAAAACAATCTTGAGAACAAGGTTGGAGGCCCCCCCTTTCAAATTGTAAAACTTAGCACACTGCTACAGTGACTCAGACAGTGTGGTACTGGCAGAACAACGGCTGTACAGATCAATGGAACAGAGATGAGAGCCGAGAAATAAACCCTTACGCTTACGTCAACTGATTTTCAACAAGGATGCCCAGACAATTCCCTGGACAACAGAAGAATCTTTTCAGCAAATGGTGCTGGAACAACTGAATATCTACATGCAAAAGAATGAAGCTGGACCCCTTCCTTTCATTGTATACAAAAATTAATAAAAATGGACACAAACCTAAATATAAGAGCTAAAACAGTAACCTCTTGAAAGAAAATACAGGAGAAAATTTTGTGTCAGGCAAAATCCTCTTAGGTAAGACACCAAAAGCATGAGTGACAAAAGAAAAAATAGATAAATTGGACTTAATCAAAATTAAAAATTTGTGCTGCAAATAATACCATCAAGGAAATAAAATGACAAGCCACAGAATGGGAGAAAATACTTGCAAATCCTGTCTCTGATAAGGGACTTGTATCTAGAATATATAAAGATTCTTAAAACTCAATAATAAAAAGACAAACAATTTTTTAAATAGGGAAAGGATAGGAATAGATACTTCCCCAAAGAGGATCTACAAATGGCCAATAAGCACATGAAAAAATGCTCAACATCATTAGCCATCATGGAAATGTAAACCAAAACAACAATGAGGAAACACATGCTCAATGAGATACCACTTCACAGCCACTGGGATGGCCGTAATTAAAAAGACAGACAATAACAAGTCTCGGTGAGGATGTGGAGAAACCAGAACCCTCACAAGTGGCTGATGGGGATGTAAAATGGTGCTGCCGCTATGGAAAACACCGGAAGTTCCCGTGAAACAGAGTTATCACAAAAACTTGTAAACAAATGTTCACAGCAGCATTATTTGTAATAGCCAAAAAGTGGAAGGTCCATCAGTTGAATGGACAAACAAGATGTGGTATACCACACAGTGAAAGATGAAACGGCCACAAAAATAAGTACTGATACACATTACGAGGGTGAACCTTGAAATTACACTGAGTGAACAAAGCTAGTCATAAAATGCTACATATTGTATGACTCCATTTCTAGGAAAGATCCAGAATAGGCAAATCCATAGAGACAAGAGTAGATTAGTGGTTGCCACGGGCTGCGAAGGTTGAAAGGAGCAGGGAGCAATTGCTAAGGGCTACAGGGTTTCTTTTTGGGGTGATGAAAATGTTCTAATAATTGATCACGGTGCTGGTTGCACAACTCTGTGAATATATTAGAAACCAGTGAACTGTATACTTTAAATGGGTGAACTGTATGGTATGTAAAAGTCTCAAGTTGATTTAAAAAACTCGCCAGTGAACTTGCTACCTGGCCACCTGCACAGGATGCCATTTAATTTCTCCAGGATTCGATTTCCTCATCAGAAAAACGAGGCTAAGAACAGAAAGCTACCTGGACAGGGCTGTTTTCGAGATTGCACCAGATAATGAATTCATTCAGAGACATCTCACAGATGTCTGCTACGTAGCAGGCCCTGAGCGGGCAGCTAGTAAGGAAGAAAGCATGATGTACTGCTCTGTACTGGCTGGAACACAGGAAATGCTCCAGAAATGTCGGCCGTTCTCAGGACCAAGACGGCTGTTTCCTAAGCAGAGGGAGAGAAGCCCCAAGGGACGAAGGAGACCTGAACTCTGGCTCTGGCTGGGAAGGGCAGTGGGCACATGCACACTTTCCACCTTCTAACCTGCACGTTGCAAGGTGTTAATTTTTTTTAAGATAAACATACTAAATTTTTCATTACAAACTTAAATTCACAGAGAAAACAACTTGAAGTAGGGAGAATTCTAGCTTTTTTCATGTTAAATTCACACCTGATCCCTCTTGATATAAACTGTGTTTTTATATTGCTGTAATCAATCATTTTTATTTCAGCATTTTAGATAACAGTGTTTGGTTGAACACAATCCACGTGTCTGTAATATGGTTGGAGAAAAAAATAACTACCATGGTATCACAGCCAAATGATGGATCAAAGTTTGCTTACTCATGCCCCGTCTGGTCAGGGACAGGCACTCCATATAGAGGTTTACAAATCAGGACCCCACCCCTTGCTTAGGACATTTCCCTTGGACACAGGGTCCCTGAGATGGGATTAACAGGTCTGAGCAGGGTTCGGAGGAGAGTGCATGTTTGAAGAGCCGGCCCAGAGGGTGCGCCAGAACCACTCCTGTGCTGCTCTCCTCGCTGACTGGCGGGACCCCACAGCACTACCCTCCCTTCAGACCCCGGCCACAAGCTCAGGAGTTCTCGAACTGCCTGCACTTCTAACCCGCTGGCTACAAATGTGGGCGTTCCCCCCACCCCCTCAGATCCGAAAATTTGTTAGAAATAACTCAGGAAACCTGTACCTATAATCACAGCTTTATTATAAAGAACATAAGTCAGGATCAGCCAAACGGAGACATGGGAGTGAGGTCTGGAAGTTTCCCCAGAGGAACTCCTGGCTGCTCCTGGTGACTCAGGACTCACGGTCCCCCTCTAGGCACATCCACTGCCACCAACCAGTTTACTGGGGTCTACTCCCCCCCACCGCCCCCCCAGCGGCAACACTCTAATCTGTTGCTGGTGTGAACCCTGAGTCAACACTTTAGCGTAAACGCAGACATTGCTATCACTTGGAAAATTCCAAAGGTTCAGAGACTCCTTCCAAGGAACAGGGGACAAAGACTAGCCAAGTTCATTACCATACTCCTGCCAGCACTAGGATTTTGTGTCCCCTGGGTCTCACAGAGCACACAGCACACAGCAGCAGAATTAAATAAATACTACTATTTACTTACACAGCCCCTGGAGCCCGAATCTGGCACAGGACGTTCTGGACATAAACACACGAGTCCTACCTGGATGAGAGTGGGCATCTGACGCCTGCATCAGCTCCCTCATTTGTGAAACGGAAGCAATACAACACTTACTTAGAGGGCTGCTGGGGGAACTAGACGAGTTTAGTAACATGAAGTACTTAAGAAAAGTACCCGGCATGCAATGCCAGGGCACAGTTCACAGATTCTACTAAGCTCAATAACCCAGTGAGCAGGATGTGACGATGAAAACAGAGCCTAACCTAATGGAAGCCCCTCAGGAGTCCTGAGGGTGCCCAATACAGAAGTCAAACCCATCGGCACCAACAGCATGTGTAAGTCTCCAAGATGACAGGGCATTAAAGGATGTCATGAGCTCCACTCTGTCACAATCAAATGGGGCCAGAGGTTAACTGGCAGGTCCTGAAAGGTCAAGAAGCTCATCAGCACGAGGCTCGGGAGGGGACCCAACATGCAGGCCCCATTCTGGCAGGAACCCTCTGCCTCCCCTTCCAAGGACAAGTTGTCTAGCAGAAGACTGTCACCACACTATCTTCCACCACCTGTGGGGGGACCCCACTGTGCGGAGAGTCACTACCTCAGGATGCAAGCGCCCTGCAGGCCTGCTGTTGACACCGGGAATTCCCCAGGAGAGGGGGTCCCCTGGGAGGAACCTGAGGGTCGAGCCTCCTCAACTGATTAACTCCTACTTGTCAGCAAACAGTTATGACCTTCAAAGATGAGAATGGGCCGCCTGCCCAGTGCCGTGCACCTCCCATGCTAATTCCAGGTGGCCCCGGACCAGGAGAACCCTAAAGGCCTCTCATTCGCAGTGTGTTATCCAGAGCTCCTCGTAAATGGTGCTTGCCTGCCTGCCAGCTTACTTCTCCTGCAGGCACAGCTGCCGGCTCCTTAACCATTCCTGTTCTCTTGGCTGTCTGCACGTGCAGGGAGCAGCTGCCCCGCCTACCCCCAGGCATCTGTTGTTGTGGCTTCTCCCTCCAGAGCAGAGGGAAGCAGGCGACATTCTGTTCAAGCGCTCAATCTCCTAGCACTCCACAGACTCGGGCCAGCTTCCAGTTCTAGACAGTGGGCTCCTTTTCTTTGTTTCGAGAATTTTCATTAAATAAAAAACTTTTAAATTCAAAGTAGTGCAATACACTGCAAGGCAGAAGAGAGGTATTTGCAGGCTTCTCCACTTCCTTGATGACACCAGGCACAGCTCAGGATACGTGTTTTATTTTTATCTTTAAATTTTTTCACCAGCTTTACTGAAGTATAGTTGACAAATGAAAATTATATGTATTTAAGGGGTACAACTTGATGTTTTGATATATGTATGTAGTGTGAAACACTCACCACCATCAAGCTAATTAACATATCCATCACCGCACACAGGTGAGCCTATGTTTTAGTGGTGAGAACACTCAAGGTCAACCTCCCTCTTGGCAAATTTCAAGTCTACAGTACGGCACTTGAACTCGTCACCACTGCCCATTAGATCCCCAGAACCTGTTCATCATGTGTAGCTGACAGATTGTACTGCTGACCAGCACCTCCCCACTTCCCTGACCCCAGGCCCCCTTGGGCAGCCCCTGTCCTCTACTCCCTGCTTCCATGAGTTCCACTATTTTGACTCCACACAGGAGTGAGATCATGCACCGTCTTTCCATGTTGGGCTTATTTCACTTAGCATGGTGTCCTCCAGGGGATATGTGTGTTTGAATCAACGCTTTTTTTTTTTTTTAAAGATTTTATTTTTCCTTTTTCTCCTCAAAGCCCCCCGGTACATAGTTGTGTATCTTTAGTTGTGGGTCCTTCTAGTTGTGGCATGTGGGATGCTGCCTCAGCGTGGCCCAATGAGTGGTGCCACGTCCACACCTAGGACTCAAACCCGAGAAACCCTGGGCTGCTGAAAAAGAGCGTGTGAACTTAACCACTCGGCCACGGGGATGGCCCCAAATCAACCCTTTTTAAAGGGGCAGTAATAAATGGATCTACTCTCAGTTTTAATACACTGCTCAGTTCCATTCAGCCCAGTCACCTGTCACAGCTACTGTTTCTCCTCAGTGATAACTCACGAGTTTGAAGACAGTGAAATTTCAAACCCATCTTTCATCCCAAAGGCTGGAACTGCAAGATCTGTCATGGAAGGCACCCTTAAAAATCCATGTTCTCACTAAATTCTGTAAAGCAAACACACCTGTACCTTTTTCAAATGTCCTTTACCAATCAGACTGCTAAGAAAATACAACCACCATAGCTCCCTACACTTCCTTTCACTCAAGAGTTTGTTCAATTTAATGCAAAAGGTGAAAGCTGGGCTGAGCAGAGTCCCTGTCGGTCACTGACGAGGACGGTAAGTCAGGCTCGGCATGACCGCTGACCCTTCAGGAGGCGTGTGGCCGCACACCGACCATGGCGCCAGGCGCATTCCCTCATTTGGAGCTCCCTGCTGGCCCAGGTGGCTACAGCACTGCCCTCTCCCACGTGGCAGCTGGGAAGGCAGGAGGGTCTCGGGGCAGTGCCTACCCAGCAGGTGTCAGAGAAGGCTGGCAGACGGACACAGCACTAGGACTGGTGTGCCATCCAAACCTTTTTATTTTCCCTAATCTCAGGTGGTATTTATTTCTATTCGACTTCTTGAGGATCAAAAATTATTTTAATCATTTTGGATTAAGGTAGGCATGAAATGAATGTCCAGTAATAAAGAAGAGCATAAGTGATAAATGAAAAGGTAGATGAGCGTATGTAAGCATGTGAGGGAGAAGCGGGGTCTCGTGCCCACTCCACATCACCACGTGCCCGGCTGGGCTGGGTATGTGATAGTTTCATGGGAGAAAGATGGCAGGGAACAGAACAGAGGTCGAGGCCGCAAACCAACAGGCCTATGGGGCTTGAGACCCAGGGTTTTCTGGAGCCAACAAGAAACTCAGGAAGGTTGGAGAAGCAACAGGTTAAGAAATTAGACTAACAGAGCTTTCAAGAGAACCCAGCTGACAACACAAAGCTAGAACCAACAGAATACCTTTTGGGTTTTTATCTGGATGTGTAACTTAACAGCAAAAATCAAGTTGTTAGAATAATTCTCAGACTGTCCTCTCCCACTCAGGGCATCAGCGACAGTGACTTCGACTGTCCCTGCTGTATCACATACTGTGCCTAACTGGGCACTGCGCAAAGCAGTCTACAAAATGTCACGCACAGTAACCCCCAGGGGCGCAGGCACCCCCTTCAGAGGGAAGGCACAAGGATGGGGAGGCTGAGCAAGCTGCCAGGGTCCCGGCAGGAAGGGGGTCATGCTGCAGGGTGAACTTAAGCCTGACCCCAAACCTTGTCCTACGGTAAGACTGCTCAGCCTGGACGCTGGGCTCTCCCACCACATTGGATATAAAACACCTAAATGGCAGGGTGACACTCATGAAACCGCCGAGTGACTCCACAGCGACCTCCTCCTGCTGTAGCATGGAAGAGCCAGTGCCCCAAGAGGAAAACAGATTCCCTCAGGCTGGTTTTTTTTTTTTTTGAGGAAGATTAGCCCTGAGCTAACTGCTGCCAATCCTCCTCTTTTTGCTGAGGAAGAGTGGCCCTGAGCTAATATCCATGTCCATCTTCCTCCACTTTATATGTGGGACACCTACCACAGCATGGCTTTTGCCAAGCCATGCCATGACCACACCCGGGAGCAGAACCGGCGAACCCCAGGCCACGGAAGCGGAACGTACACACTTAACCACTCTACCACCGGGCCGGCCCTGGTTTTGTTTTTAAGATCATTACTATCTCTAGTTCCTCCTCTATGCCCCAAATTTTATCCATCTTAATTATCCCACAAAGAGGCACACAGGACACTAAACAACAGAAAATGCAAGGCAAATGCTCCAGCCTGACTTCACGAGATCTGGGCGTCAAAGCCCCCAGGAGAGTCACGTGCAGTGACTCTACACACTACCTTGACGTTTCTGAGAAGGCCGTCGTCTCTGCCGAGGCCAGGCCCCACGACCAGGGCATGCAGTCGGGGCAACCACTTCTCCACGTCCTGAACAGCGTCAGGGCTGTCACTAAACAAGGAAGAGAAGGGCAGAACGGTTCACTCAACATTTTCACTTCTTTACTTTATTAGTGAAACTGCACATTTTTCTGGATCTCCCCAGTTCTTCCCCCAATGTTCTTTTCCTCTTCCAGGATCCAAGCCAGGACCCCACCCTGCATGAGCCATCATGTCTCCTAGTCTTCTCTGTAGACTGGTTCACCTTTTAACGCCCGAATGCAGAGGTCTAGCTTTCATCATCTAAAACAAGCTGGAATAAGATGTTATGGCTTGTTTCAAAAGCTGCCCTTGTCGAAGTTAGCTACCCTACACTGTGAGATCCAGCCACCCTTAGTCCTCCTCTCTGACTACAGGGAGACGGGGCCTTCTAGAACAGTCTGTGGACAATTATTCACTGACTCCAGGACACCGCTCCTGGCGTCTTTCACCTCCCCACCCGTCTGCATGCCAGGCTCTCCCTGCCTACATGCACTTCTGGGTGGCCTTATCCTTGTTTCCTGGCTCTAAACACCTTCCACAAGGAAGCTAACTACTCCTAGATTTACAGCCTCCTTGACCGCCCCACTCCTATCCGCTGCCTACCAGCCACATCTGCTTGGATGTCTGACAGGCGACTACAAACAGTCCCGAACCCAGCTCCTGATGGTCACCCCTGCCCAAACGCACCCTCTCAGTCTCCTCGCCTTGTTAAATGATGACTGTCTTGGATCAAACCCTGGGTGGCCTTCACGACTCTTGTCTTTTCCTTGTATCCCACATCCCATCGGTCAGCAGATCCTGGGGCCGTACTTCCCAAATGTACCCAGAATGTGACCCTTCTCCCTTTCTTACCTGTCATTTACCTGTCACCAGGATCCTTACAACAGCCTCCTTGTGGGACCCTGCGTTCACCCTGGGCCCCAAGAGCTTATTCTCAACACAGCAGCCAGAGGAGCCTTTCAAAATGTACATTGGGTCCTGTCCGCCCACCCGCCCTCTCCAATGTTCCAGCAGCCCCCTTCTCATTTGCATGAAAGCCAAAACCCTTACAACAACCCCCACGACCTGCAAAGCCTGGGCCTGAACCTCTCTGGTCCCCCCGGGAATCCTGAGCCCGCAAGTGCTCCCACACACCTGCAGCTCAAGTTCTTGCACCAGCTCTTCCCCAGGTATGGAGGGACCCCCAGCCCCTCTCGTGTCTGCAGGACTCACTCCCTCACCATTTCCAGGTCTTTATTTGAATGAACTCTCTGTGCCACTGCCCAGGATCACCCTATTACCAAGGGCACAGACATGACACAAGGCACCCACACACGGCCAGCACTCTGTCCCCTTCCCTGCTCCTGCTCTCCCTGTGGTCCTCACCACCCTCGGAGATACTGTTTTCGTACTTATTTGTCTCCAGAGCTGTGTGGCATAAAACAGTAGACATCAGCCACATGTAGCTTTAAATGTAATTACAATTAAAGTAAAAACTCAGTTCCTGAGCTCCACTGGCCACATTTCAAGTGCCCAGTAGCCATATGTGGTCAGTGACAAGAGTCCTGGACAGCACCAAGAGAGAACATTTCATCACTGCAGAAATCCTAGGGCACAGGGCTGCCCTGGAGAGGAAGCTGCATGGAGCAGGTGTTCTGTCTGCTCGGTTTAGAGCTGTCCCCGTGGACCCCAGGAGAGGGCCTGCAGCAGAAACATCTGCTGGAGGAGGGAACAGTCTTGTCGCTGCCCGCAGGCCCCCATTCCTGCCACAGCGGCATGACCACAGGCAGGCCCAAAGGCCTCTTCTGGACCTGGGAACCCTCAGCCACTTCTGATGGGCCGCCAGGAGCAGCCCTAGGCGTGTCGCCCTGGTGGCCCAAATCTCATCCCACACTGTAGCACACGGCTGTCTGTCTGTCTTCTTCTGACCATGCAATGGGCTCATTACAGTTTTCTCATTTCTCCTGACAGCACCTACCTACCAACCCCCGCACAGCAGCTACTTAACAGAGGCTCTGAGAGAGTCAGCGTGAGAACGCCCGTGACGGGGAGAACTACTGCACGCAGAGCCCCGGGGCCACTCACAGAACCGGGTGGACAATCAGCTCCGGGCTGTAGGACTTGATCACAGGCGCGGCCTCCTGGGTGCAGAACACGTGGGATAAGTCTGCGCCCTGAGAAATGAGCACAAGAGGCTGACTCAAAGCAGGACTGGCTCCACAGACACCCAAAGTGACCGTGGCATGAGCCACTCACCACAGGACACGTGGTGTTCAACCATTCAAATCACTCAGCACTATCCGTAAAAGAAAAATAGCCAATGACGGCAGTTAAACTACAGCGAGGTGGCTGAGGAGGAGGATGTAACCTAAAAAAAGACCTGGAAAGAAAGGCAGACTCTTGCTGCCACTTAAGAGGCAGGTCGACCCAGACCAGCTTAGGCTGTACCCGCAATGAGGCCCGCAGGGAGAGCGGCCTTGGGGCCCAGTGCGTGTCATGTTTGCTGTGTTAACTGTGCTGACTGGCCGTCAGGACTTAATCAAAATGCACGGGAAAGTGCCGAGGTTAAAAGAGGTCAACTGACTAAGATAGGACTGGAAAGACATCCCATGAAGATTTTGGTGAAGTACAACGCTAGTAAAACTTTGGTTTAAAAAAAAAAGAGTTTCAAGTCAACATATCTTGTCACTGCACAAGAGTCCAGGACAGATTTAAAGGTATTTCTCTCACCCATGACTAGCCCAGGATGTTATTTAGATTCCCATCAGAAAACATTTCTTTACTCATATTTGAAGAATCCAACTCTGTACTAGAAAAACCCCAATAAAGAAGATATACGTGAACATACCACTTTGAGAGCTGAGATGGCTGCAAAATAGGGGGCTCCAGTGTACCTAGAAAGAAGACACTGACAGTCAAAGACTCCTGAGCACGAGACAAGCACCCAGGTTTATCAAATTACACAGGCGTGAAGCACACAGCACAGCACCCACCCCCGCCAGGGGCTCAGGAAACACGCATCAGGACCAGAGAAGTCAGTCTCACACACAAGGCCTTTCTACCACATCAAGAGGCCAGTTCCAGCGTCCCGTGCCCACGGTCTCTGTAACGCTCTGTTCAAACTGAAGGCTGAGAAGACGGCGGGAGCTCACCGAAGACTCTGTCTGCGGCAGAGATGCCGTGCTCGAGGGGACTGCAGTGCAGAACCCTCCAGGGGCCGCAGCCCCGAGAAGCGGGACCCAGCTCCCAGAGAGCAACAGCCATCTCGGACGGGGGCCACCAGGGCACCCAGCGCAATGACAAGAGACTCACACTCCTCCCTCTTGCTTCCATCTTATTTCCAGAATGCCTGTAACTATTTTTATCATTGCCTCAAGCACAGAAAGGAAAGTCCTTGAACTTGGCACCACATGAGCGGCTGTAACCTCTACGTGAATTCAAAGCAGTGAAGAAATCTGCTAACCCAGGAAAAACAAACGGGGAAAACAGTGCCCTCTACACACGTGACACTCTCCCGCAGAGCAGGGCCACCAGCAGGCCAGAAATGGCAAAGGACAGGACACGTCAGACAGACAGACAGACACACACACGCACGCACACTCTCCCCTCCCCCTACAACGTGAACACAAACCTCACTAACAAAAGAAATACATTAAAACAACGAGAAACAGCTTGCCTACTCTATGAGCAAGGCTGCTGACAGCCACAGGGTGTGAGAGGAACAGATGCTTATCGGCGGCAGCACACACACTAGTGAGATTTGCGGGGAAGACCAATTAGCAATGCTTAACATCATTTTAAACGTCTATGTACTTGGCTCCAGCAAAAATTCTTCTAGGAACTGATCTGCTGGAAATAACCAGATGGGTACACAAGGAGATAAATGTACAGAGATGTCTACAGTCATACTGTTATTGAAAAAAAGAATAGAGGTAACCAATTGCCTATCAATAGGGAATTGGTTAAATAAATTAGAGCCCACCTTTACCAATGCATACCATACATCCACTTATAATCGGTCTATATGAATCAACGTGGAACGATACCCACGATCCAGCATTAACTGAAAAGGTCAGATAACCAAACAGCAGGTATTACATGGTCCCAGCTTTGTAAAACATAGTTACACAGAAAAGTGTGGAAGGCTAACAACATGTCCATACTGTATTATTATTATGTAGGGTACTATGGGACTTTCACTTTACATATTTCTGTAGTGTTTGAATTTTTATAAGCAGATAATACTTTTCCGATTTTATAATTGGAAGAAAGATGTTTCTACTTTAAAGTTTAATCCCTAAAGCTGACATATTTTAAGTTAGATGTTTACACCCTACACTATCAGACTTACGTGAAAAGAAAATCTGATGGCCTATTCTTCTTATGTAGACTTCCCAAAACATAAGGCAGGAGATGGAGGGGGTCTGAGGAATAAAACCCCTGACTCCCTCAACTCTCGAGAAAGATGAAGGACCCAGGGGCCCGGCTTGCTCTGGCCCCACAGGGACTGGCAGGGCCGTGCTGGTGGCCTCCATCCCTGAAGCTGAGGGAGAGCTATCTGGACTGAGGACCCAAAGGCAGAAAGGCCAGCTTTCTGTGCCTAAGAGTTAACAATCCAAGAGTCCAACACGCAGTAGGAGGAAAAAAGAACAGAAGAGATGTGAGAAAACAGTACTAGGGGCAAACTTCCCTCATCCAAAGGGACCCTGTCTCAAGTGAGATTAGTGAAAAATAAGACACAGCCAACACAGCCTGGAGAGAGTGCAGAATTCTAAAGAAAACATTTTTCAAACATCCAAGCAAGAACAAGCGACTTATAAATGAAAGGGAATTTCCACCAGACTTTTAAGGTGCAAATGGAAGCTAGAGGACAAGGCGATCACACACACAGATTACCAAAAGGAAATGACTGCTCCCTAGGAATCCCACACTCAGCCAACGCCCAGCTCAGCCACCTACCACAGCAGGCGCAGTGGATGTGCAGGGAGTCCAGTGGGTCACCTACACACACTGCCCTAAGAAAACGCCGGAAGAGGCTAAGTGCCCCTATCCAAACTGCAGACCAGGGAGGGCAGGAAATATCTGCCAGTATACAAAATGATGTTCAGTAGTTATGGGTTCAGCTGGGAGTTCTCAGACCAACTGCCGCTTAAGGAAGCTGGACACCGAAGAAGGCAAAGAGGGATGAACCATGGTCTGAAGGGTCCACCTTCAAGGCACACGACCACCAACACTCTCTCCCCCAAGTGGCACTTTGAATTCATCACGGTAGTTAGAAAGGGCAATCACGAGCTGAATTTGAAAGTATAAGAGAATTTCCAAATTAATAAAAGGAAAAGCCTAGCAAAGTAAGGAAAGAAAAAATGGAAGCACCAAGTAAAATAAAGAGGAAACATGACCAGCCTTAGCAGGTGCGTCAGGTGGACTCTAAATGTGAACAGGATTGTCTCCCTCATTAAAAAGAGCAGTCAGTGCGTGAAACCATGAAACTCCTAGAAGAAAACAGGGGCAGTACACTCTTTGACGTCAGTCTTAAAAGGATCTTTTCGAATACCACATCTACTCGGGCAAGGGAAATGAAAAAATAAACAGATGGGACTTCATCAGACTAAAGAGCTTCTGCAGGCAAAGGAAACCAGGAACCAAACGAAAAGACAACCCACCAACTGGGAGAAAATATTTATAAATCATCTATCCAACAAGGCGTTAATCTCCAGAATATATAAAGAACTCATACAACTCAACAACAACAACAAAACCCAATCAAAAAATGGGCAGAGGATATGAATAGATACTTTTCCAAAGAAGATATACAGATGGCCAACAGACGCATGAAAAGATGTTCATCGTCACTAATCATTAGGGAAATGCAAATCAAAACTACAAGGAGATATCACTTTACACCTGGTAGAATGGCTATAATCACCAAGACAAAAAACAACAAGTATTGGAGAGGATGTGGAGAAAAGGGAACCCTCATACACTGCTGGTGGGAATGCAAACTGGTGCAGCCACTAGGGAAAACAGTATGGAGAGTTCTCAAAAAATTAAAAATAGAAATACCATATGACCCAGCCATCCCACTACTGGGTATCTATCCTAAGAACCTGAAATCAACAATCCAAAGAGACTCACGCACCCCTGTGTTCATGGCAGCATTATTCACGATAGCCAAGATGTGGAAACAACCCAAGTGCCCATCGACCAATGACTGGATAAAGAAGAGGCGGTGTATACGGACAATGGAGTACTACTCAGCCATAACGAAAGTCAAAGTCGTCCCATTTGCAACAACAAGGATGGACCTTAAGGGTGTTATGTTAAGCGAAATAAGCCAGAGAGAGAAAAACACCATATGATTTCGCTCATATGTGGAAGATAAACAAACACAAGGACAGTGAGAACAGATTAGTGGTTATCAGAGGGGAAGGGAGGTGGACATAAGGGGTAAAGGGGCACATACGCATGGTGACTGACAAATAATAATGTACAACCGAATTTCACAATGTTATAAACTATTATGACCTCAATAAAACAAAAAAATTAAAAAGAGGAGTCACTGTCATACTGGGTAAAGAAAGAAAATCTAGCTACATATTATTTATAATACACCTAACTACATGATTAACTGTTGAAAAGTCAGGGCTAGGCAAAAAGACAGCACATAAATGTAAACAGAGATTAAGGAGAAACTGAAATGGTAACCCAGGTGGAATTTAAGTCAAAGGCAGTAGGTATCATTTATAAACAAGGACAAATTAAATTATAAATGTCATATGCCAAAGGGGCAGCAAAAGACATAAAACAAGAAGATAAAACAGGCCTCGAGTAAAGCTAGGACCTGTCAAATTTCATAAATGACTTCCAGGAATCTGGAAGTTAATCTTTAAATTAATAAAGTAAACCAAGCAGATGCTGAGGGTTTTTATCCTGATGGACAAAGTAATATATACGTATAGTATGAAGTCTGGTCAATAGAGAAAAGTACAGAAGAAGAAAACAGTCTCATCCCCCCACTACAGGCAGAACGTTAACACCGACACACACCAGGGAACAGCTCGATCTGGCCCCTCAGAGTTCTCCCATTCAATCACAAAGTTCATCACTGAAGACTACCGAGTGTCATAGTATCAGACTACCTTTAGAATTGATTACTGGGGTCCAACGAGACAGACAGATGGACGGATGGATGGCAGGTAGGTAGACAGCCAAATAACAGAGACTGATTGTTTAAACACTAACATTTCCAAGTCACTTACTCTTGGCAGCCTCCAACTATGCCTATTCTTCCATCTTGGCCTTTGTGCTTCTTGGTAGTTAGAGGAGGTATAATATTTCTCACCAACTGAAAAGTATTCTTCATATCCTTTATCGAACATGCTTTATTCAGTGAAAATGCTCTTTCTAAAACTGAGAAACAGGAAAATGCAATCATTCAGAAAGGTAAATATCTGTTAGTATACATAAAGAGAAAGATTTAAACAAAATACCCCATTAACCAAAACACTTCCCAAAGTTAACTTCATAGGAATGACACAGACTTATCCACAGCTTTCACCATTTTATTTCTGTAAGCAAATGATGCTTAGAAATTACAACAACACTAACACATGCTGTATCTATCAACTGTGATTTTGAAATGCATCAGACATTCTGGAAGCCTACTTAATCTTTCCGAAAGCTTTTTAAAAAGTGCATTATTACTTAATAACTAAACATATTTCATTTCAATCTCCTTTAACTTTATTAGGTCTCTTTCTGAAATTGGAAAAGCAAGCTCCCATTTGTTATCTTCCACTGTCACATTCAAGCCTGACAGATTCATAGTATTCCCAGTTTAATTTTCCAGTCTTACTTCCAACACTCAATTAGATACTAATCAAATAACCTAGAAATAGCATTCTAAATAGAGAACATCTTACATTGGGTTTAAAGTGGCATTTTAAAATAATTTGATCATTTTGAATTATCTCTAAATAGCTACATTTTAATTGGTCTTTCTTGAAAAAAATCCTGCATTTTATATTTTGCTTAATATCTAAAACAGCCTATCTGCAAGAGAAATGCTGCTATGTTCTGTAGAGCCCAGTGTATGAATAAATACACCATGTATTTTCTCTAGAATTAAAGAACCTTTGTAGATATAAACAATATTTTCTCAAACAAGGCACCCAATATTTGTATCCTTCCCAGGATCTTAGCAGCTGAGAAACTAGACCCATGTCCCTAGCTCAAATGAAGACTGAGAGGTGACAGCTCCATACGGTAAAACAGCTTTATCTTTAATGACACTCTTATGGTTTTACTTTTTATTCAACAAATTATTCAAGTAACTTTCTTGGATGAGTCACTGTAAATGTCTCCTTAGGTGACACATCAGACCCTCAGACCCCCTCAACTCAAACACCTTTTCACCTTCTTCCAAACCAACCCAGGATTAAAACTCACAACAGAATCACTGTAAACCTTTGGCCAAGGAAAGGCACACATAGGCTTGCTCAAGGATCAGTACAGTGGCTGATCCCGGCCGAGTTCTGCTCCCGTGACAAGTGCGCAGGACTGCCTCCCACCCTGACTCGGAGCCCAGAGAAGCACTGACTTAACAGCAACCCGCTCTCCTGCCTCCTCGCCCCGGGTTCACTCCACTTCCAGATGCCCACCCACACTCCCAACTCCCAGGACATGCACTTCTCTTCACCATGCAGTTACCAGAAAATGCTCTTTCCCAGTGCTCCCTGCCAAGCTGCATGAAAGGCACCAGAGCTGTATAATCAGCTTTAAAGACAGAATTGCTGGCTGCTGGTTAGCCACCAGCAGTCATGAAAATGCCTGCAAGGATTTGTTTCAAACTATAAGGTATCTAGCACAACAACACAAGTAGTCAATACAAGAGTATCAGAGAATGGTCACTCTTTCAAATCCCCCTGAACAGGAAACACAGTTGCTTTTTTTTCTTTTTAAAGATTGGCACCTGAGCTAACATCTGTTGCCAATCTTTTTTCTTCTTTCTTCTTCTTCTTCTTCTCCTCAAGGCCCCCCAGTAAGTAGTTGTATATTCTAGTTGTAGATCCTTCTGGTTGTGCTATGTGGGATGCTGCCTCAGCATGGCTTGATGAGCAGTGCCATGTCCGCGCCCAGGATCCAAACCGGCAAAACCCTGGGCCACTCAAGCAGAGCGAGTGAACTTAACCACTTGGCCATGAGGCCAGCCCCTAGAGTTGTTTTTTAAAGTACAGAAATTATAAAAGCAGAATCCAAACTTACCAGTCACTCAAGGGTTGTTCTGGGCTCCTTACAATGTTTTGGGTTTATTAGATATCATCACTTTACACACAGCACTTAGCCACACACAAAATATCCCTAAGCTCACCCCACTACCCTTTGCCTACACAGAATGTGGCACAGCTCCACCTGCAGCTTAAGGGTAGGGTCCACGTGTTTCCATGTTGGACCCTCACCCACAGTCACCTCAAACAGGGTGTGACACAGAGTAAGCCACTCAACAAATGTTCGATGAATTAAAGGCATCCTCCTTCATTTCCTCATTAGCAGCCAGCCTCTCTTTCTTCAACAGAGAAGGAAACTAGGGCCCAGAGAGACAGACCTGTGAAGATGCCTTGGTTAGGAATGGATAACTAGGCCAAAAGACACCATTTTTCCAAAATGCTATTCTAAGGCAAAAGAAATCATTTTTCTTTAACAAAATATTCACCCCACCAACAAAAAGACAAGTCAAATCCTTCTCAATTGCCCTCTGAAACCATTTGGGGGGCGGGGATCACTGTTGAGAAATACAGCATTTTCACTTTTTAACTAGAATTGTATGAATGCAAAATAAAATCCACACTGGTCCCCAGCGTCTGTCCTATTCACCTGAGAGGAACATCTTCTGCTAGCAAAAGGGCCAAAGGAAGCTCAATTAAATTTCCCCACACTGCACAGTGAATCACAGTGTCAGCTGGCTTACTGACACGCCATTTGCACTTATCCACCGAAATACTTAAAAGTAAACATCAAAGTTCTGAAGGATAAAAAGGCCTCGACAAGAGGCGACTTAAAATTCATCCTGTTAAGTACCTTTTTTTCACGACAACTCTGAGTCTGGAAGAACAGGTCAAACCTGTCTGGCTTTTGTTTGTTTTACAGAAGTGTGGCTAAGGACGATTCGGGAATTAAATAGATTTCTTAAGTCTGGGCTGTTTTCCAGAATTACCTGACACTTAAAACTTTCTATGCTATTGATGTTTCTTTTCGCCAAACGTGATTTAAACTAATGTGAATCATAACTAATTTGGAGCATGTGACAGCAATCCTTAAGATAACTGAGATGCCCTAAAGCTAGCATGGGAAGTCAGCGATCTAGAACTCCACCTGTTTTGTGGTAAAAGTTCAGCAAGTCAGTCTAATAATGAAACTTCAAACTCAAAGAAAAATCTTGCGGACTCATCATAGTGTGTGACTTTAAGACAAAAAACCACCGATAAAAAAAATTTCTGAATAAACGGGTGCCCAGAAGTCCCTCTGTGCTGATGCGATGAAGGGAGGTGCAGAAGCTGAGGGACCCCTCAAAGCTCCTCAAAGCATTTGAACTATCGTCCTAAAAAACAAAAAGCCAAAACTCCCCAACACTTGTCTCTGATCATGCCCAGCATGTATTTATGTATGTGTGTGTATATACATATATAGTAAAATCTTTCTAATTACTACAACAAAAGCACATTTTGTCATTTCAGCTACTCACTGGCTGGGGAACCCAGGCTTGGGTAAGTCTATTTTTTCACAGCCTCTGTCGTCTACACAAAGGTGGATGACAGCAATCTCTCCAAATTGTCGTGAGAAATGAGATAATATAATACACAAGCTACGTATTTAGCGGTGTAAAAGATACTGGGTATGTTAATATCCACAGAGCACACAGAGGAAAAGCCACACGAGAGGGTACGGGGTTACCCCCCTCCTCAAGTGACCCCTGCACACACGCCCGGGCCCGGTCCGTCCGGCCCGAGAACTCGGGCGGGTGGCTCGCCCCCCACTCGGTGGTCCCGGCTCTCCAAGCCCTCGGGTTCGCATGTTCCGCTCGGACACTGGAGGCCCCGGGGGCGGGCGGGCGTCGCTCCCGGCCCGCGCACCCCGGCCGCCCTGAGCTCCCCGACACACGGCCCCCAGCGGCCCCTGGCCCCACAGCGGCGCCTCCCGCCCTGACAAGCGGCCCGCGGCCGGGTACCTGCGTCCAGCGGTGGCCCGTAGAGCGCGAGCACTGCCGAAAGCAGCGCGACAACGGCCGCGCAGGCGACCGCAGCCCCAACCCCCGCCCCAGTGGCCATGCCGGGGACAGCCATATCGATCCTACCTTGCCCGCTGGCGCAGGCCACCAACCAGCCGGAACTCAGAGCCATAGGGGCACTTCCGGACTCCCGGCCGCCCCCGCGGCGCCGCCGGAACAACAACCTCCCGGCGGACTTCCCGACTCCCGGCCACCCCCGCGCCGCCTCCAGAAGCCGGCTCCCAACTCGCGGTAGCGGAACCGCGGCCTCGCTCCACCCCGTGACGGGCCTCCACCAGTCACATCCTGTTGCAGATGATTGACAAGCCCACTGCCCAACCGGGCCTGGGCCCTCGCTGTGGCCCACCGCGTTTTGCTGGAAGGCCGGTGACGGAATCAAGATGCGTCTTCAAGGTGGAAGGCTGGGCTTGTTTTTATCGTTCCTTTGAGCAAGGGCCTTATAGAAAATGATGGAGGCAGACGCTGCCCATGGGTCAGCAGGCTGCCGTCAGAACACCTGTCATTCGGCGTCAGACCCCAGAAAGCAGGTGGAGGGCTTCGAGGACCGCCTCTTGCAGCTCAGGTCTGTTAAGTGCGGGGTCCGAGATTCGGGCCCCGCCCGACCCTCCGCTGGACTCCAAGCTGGTCCGTCCAGCTGGGTCTCTCCCAAACCAGCCCTGAGCCCAGCGCCCGCCACCTTCCCCACCTCCGTCAGCGGGAGCTCCGTCCCCCAGCTGCTCTAGCCGCCAGCCTGGAGGGATCCTGACGTCTCTGTCCCCCACCCCATCCCTCCTCCCGCTTGCCCTGCCTCAGGAACAGACCCAGGGCTTGCCTGCCTGCGCACCCTGTTTGAAGCGCCCTCGTGGACAAGCGGTGATGGCAATAGCGTTCTGTATTCGTTTCCTGGGGCCGCCATAACAAATTGCCACAAGCTGGGGGGGCTTAAACAACAGAAATTCATTGTCTCACGGTTCTGAAGGCCAGAAGTCCAAAATCAAGGCGTGCTCTAACTTCTGGTGGTGGCCATCCATCTGTCAACTTAAAAAGCAAATTTGCCTGTTATTTTAGCTCAAAATGAGTTTATTCAGGAATAACCAAAAGAACTGCAATTTGGGTGTGCATGCTATGGCAGACCATAGGCAAATCCAGCAAACAAAGAAGGGGAGCTGTTTTTATAGAGAAAAGGGAGAGTAGGGAGGGGCTGTTCTAAAGCAAAGTCCAGTGGGGGAAAGTAGCAGTTCAGGGCCGCAGCAGCTTCTCGTTGCCTGGGTTGCTGCCGGTGTGGAGAGAAATCTTCCTTCAGCTGTGAAGTAGTTGTACGTCCTGTCCAAGATGCAAGTTTCTCTCTTTTCCTACTTGGTGTAATTGAGATGTGTGACAGGGTATGAGAGCTCCCCCTACAGGCCTTCCCAACTCCAACTTGGTTAAGGTTTCTTTCATTAATTTCCACAAATCCTTGGCATTGCTTGCCTTGTGCCTGCAACACTCCAATCTCCGCCTGTGTCATCACCTGGCTTTCTTCCTGTGAGTCCCTGTCCTCGCATGGTGTTTTCCTCTTCTCGTCAGGATGCCAGTCATACTGAATTAGGGTCCACTCTAATGACCTTGTCTTAACTTGATCATCTGCAGACCCTGCTTCCAAATGAGGTTACATTGACAGGTCCTGGGGGTTGGGACTTCAACATATTTTGGGAGGATGCAGTTCACCTCATAACACCTAAATTCACCTCCCTGCTTTCCTACAGCAGCAGAATGATCTTAAATGAAAGACCATGTCACTCGCTGCACAGAACCCTCCAGTGATTTCCTGTGTCACTCAGAATAAAATCCAAAGTCTCTTTCTTCCGTGGCCTTCCAGCCCCCCTGTGATGGTGTCCTCAGTCTCCTGCCACTGTCATCCTTGCTCTCTCCCGACTACGTCAACTTCTTTGCCCTTAGACTAACCTGCCAAGCCTGTTCATGCTCTCCCTTCTTCTGGAATGTTCTTTCTCCTGATATCTGTGGGGCTTATGCATTCATTTCCCTTAGGTCTCTGCCCATTTGTCTTATCAGTGCAAAGCCTTTCCTGACCATTCTATATAAAATAGTTCATACCTCGTCTCTCTCGCCGCTGCCATCCCCTTACCCTGTTTTCTTTCTCTTCTTAGCACTTTTCACTATTTGATGTATTCAGTCATTCATTCGTTCGTTCGTTCATTGTCATCTGTCTCACCATGACTAGCAAGTTAGCTCCAATGGGAAAGCTTTACTTTTTTCTGTACTGTATGCTCAGTACCTAGAAGGTGGAACATAGTAAGTTCTCTCTCTCTTTGTTGAGGTGTAGGGACCTGAAATTGGCCACCCCAAGATATGTCTCTTTGGCATCAGGATTATTTGAGGCTGATTGCTTTTGATAAACTGGGACAGGGAAGGAGGCTCTGAGGAATGGAACTTGCCCTTTGTTAGGACACTTACATTTGTAAGGTAAATCTCTATCTGTAAAAGGTGCCTCCCTCTCTCTGTACCAGGAACAAGAAAGGCGATGACCTTATCTCTAGAAACCCTTAATCAATACCAAAGGCAAGGATTTAAATCTGCATTTTATTGTGCTTCTCTGGTAACCTCCTGTAACTGACTTCCCTCCCCCTCCCAACATTGGCATTTCTTAAGGATTAAGCACCTTTCCTTAGGCTAGGAACTGATTGCTGTGCTCACCTGTGACCGCCCAGCTCCAGACAATTGACTTGCCTCTGGCTACGCCCTCTGAGACAGCAGACCACTGCCTGCTGTGTCCATCAAGCACTGTGCCGACAGGGCAATCTTGTGACTATTGTGGGAGGGACATTTCAATCACATGTGAAACACCCTGTTTGGGAGTATATAACCACTCTGTGCACCCCACTTCTTGGGTGCCCTTTCTTCCTTCGGGAAGAAAGGCCCCGGGCCATGGTTCCTCATAAAGCTTTGTTTAATTTTCTCTTGCTATTCTGTCTCATGTGAATTTAATTCGTTCTCAGGCCAGACGAACCCACATTTGGGAAGAGGAAATGTCTTCCTCCACTACAGAGGTATAATTTACGTAACAATAAAATCCACTAATTTTAAAAGTACAATTCTATGCATTTTAACAAATGTATGTAATCATGTAATCATCACATTCATGATTTAGAACATTTCTATCAACACACCCAAAGCATGCTTTTGATGCTATTATAAATGTTATTTTTTAGACTTTATTTTTTATTTTTCTTCTTCTTCTCCCCAAAGTCCCTCAGTACATAGTTGTAGATTCTAGTTGTGAGTGCCTCTGGTTGTGCTATGTGGGACGCTGCCTCAGCGTGGCCTGACGAGCGGTACTAGGTCTGTGCCCAGGATCCGAATCGGTGATATCCTGGGCCGCTGAAGCAGAGTGCATGAACTTAACAACTCTGGCACGGGGCCAGCCTCTAGATTTTAATTTTCAGTTATTCATTGCTCGTAAATGGGAATACAATTGATTTTTATATATTGACAGTGTGTCCTTTGCGCTAAATTAACTTATTAGTTCTAGCAAATGTTTTTGAGATTGCTTGGGATCGTCTATATAAGCAGTGTCAGTTTGCCCCATTTTTTGGTGACATTAACTTCGTTAACTTTGATCACTTGGTTAGGGTGGTGTACACCAGGTTATTTATTTATTACCAGTGTGAGCTCCTGGATTTTTATTTCATTCAGAAAAAATTTGTGAATTTTTATTTTATTCCGAATTTTTGTTTTATTTATTAACTAGGTTATTTATTACCAGTATGAATTTGTAAGTTTTTTTCATTTATTTTGTTTATTTTATTACATTACCCTTTTTTTATATTTTAAATGCAAGCATATTTAAATATTTACATTTCAATGGGTCATCTTGCCCCCCACTTCCAACACCTCTAATCCTTGGGATGTGGTGAGTCTGCCCTCCCTCAGATGCAGAACAGGAGTTCCTTCTCCTGTGCCCCTCCCCTTAGTTTTGGAGGGGACAGATCTGTGTACACTTAGAAAAGTTGTACAAATAATTAAACTCTGACTCTTCGTTACTCAGCTATGAAGTTGTAAAGCGTGAGAGTCAGAGCTGCCCATCCTGTGGAGTGGTGGTAGGAGGAAGAGAGGGGATATGGAGCTCATTGGACACAGACCTGCCTCCCTGTATTATGATTTGTCCTCCAAAGCCAAATGACAGGGAGGGAAAGTGAACAGTCTGAAATGTGGGTGGCACTTCATTTCCTTTGCATCACCTCTAAAATAAAACACATTTGTCCCATCTCTCTGGCAAGGTTGAGAGGTGACCTTCCTTGCCTTTCCACACTGTCCTCCCCGGTGCTCTTGGCCTGCAGGCTGCTGTCTTCATCAAACCAGGCTAAGAAATAGATGCAAGAAAGATCCGTCGGAGGCCGGATCTCTTACTGTTCTGAATGTGAAGTAGCACATTGGATACCATTACAGAAGACCTGTAAGTGCGTTTTTTAGCTTTCACCCACAAAATCTGAAAATAGTTAAAGCCAGAATAATCTGTAATTTTTTGAGTAAACTTGAAGAGATTAGAAGTAACATAACACTGACAACTGATCTGCATTCCTGTTAGTTTAATTACCTCAGTGGGAGCGGCTGCTCATCACGCCCCTTGGTAACTGGGTCCTTAATTTTGAGAACTGTCCCTCATGACATCTTAACTATTATTTTTAGCTTTGCAGTGAAGAGGAATATGATTAAGGAATATAGCCAGAAGGAAAAATAAAATTTATTACCAGGATCAGCAAATCTTTATTTTCAGACATGAGGAAAAACCAGTCAGGTTCAGGTAGATTTAGTTTCTCCGGGGGCTTATTTGAAATGCAGAAGCACAAAGGTACCTATTGTTTGTTATGCCTAAAAATTGAGCCATCTATTTTCTAAGTGATTGCTATGATTCAACATATTTCTTGAAAACACAAAATAATCAGTCAAAATGTTGCTGCTGTTCTGCTGATCTGCTTGGCTATGGCGTAGGACACGTCTCCTCTGTCAGCTGTTGCAGCATCGGCAGGAGGGTACACTGGTGACCGGGGGAGAGGCCATGGATGAATGTTGAACTGCACCCTGTAATTTCACCACAGCCTCTTCTCATATGTCAGGTTGATGGGGCCCAGGAACAAAATCTTTATCAAGATCTCAAATGATTAAAGCACTTCTCACGTTTGTCACGTTTGCAGAGGCGCTGTGTTGAATATTCTTATTCACTTTCTCCTGCGTAAAACTCAACAGCGTGTTTCTCCATCCTTTCTCCCTGCATTTGCCAAAAGAGGCCACGCTGAACTGGATCTGCGGTCATGGAATTCACCTTACTGATGCCTATTCAGGATGGCGGGCCGAGAGGAAGTAAAATACCTAGCTAGCAGTGTGTGCTGTACGCCCTTCTAGATTATGTGTCGACCGCCAACAAATGCTGTGATAGGCTCTTCTTGATAGCTCTAATCTCAGTTAAAGTCTTTAGAAGTCCCACATTTTCAATACAAACCTCACAGAATCATGACATAAAGGGAAAGCACACAGTTGAATCTGGATAGGAAAGTTCTGGCTCCCCAGCAATAGCTCTGAGAATTTGCAAGGGGCACCTAAACTTTTTGGGTTGTAGGGTGTTATCACCAATAAATGAAGTATTTGGATTAGATAAGCTTTAATGTTTCTCTCAGTTCTAGCAATGTGTATTTGATCTAGTAATATATTTGTTTATATTTTGCCTCTCATTTAATTTTTGACTTTTAAATACTGTTTTAAAGTCCTCTTAAGAGGAACAGTAATGTGCTTGGGGGCTGTCAATAATCTAGCAAGGTCTAAACCATATTCAGACAAGTACCTCCTCTGTATCTTTTTTTTTTTTTTTTTTTGAGGAAGATTAGCCCTGAGCTAACTACTGCCAATCCTTCTCTTTTTGCTGAGGAAAACTGGCCCTGAGCTAACATCCATGCCCATCTTCCTCTACTTTATACGTGGGATGCCTACCACGCCATGGCTTGCCAAGTGGTGCCATGTCCACACCCAGGATCCAAACTGGGGAACCCCGGGCCACTGAGAAGCAGAACATGCGAACTTAACTGCTGCGCCACTAGGCCGGCCCCTGTATCTTTTTTTAATGGAAATTTTTCTCCAAAATAAAATGAGAGGAACCCACTCAAAGGGTGGCCAGGTGATGTCACCTGAGTGGAAGCCAGGTGACCTAAGACACATGGGCTCCATCAACCTCAGGAGTTCAGCCTCTTGGCTAGATTAGTCCCTGTTTCTCAGTTATTCCTGGCAGATTGTGTAAGGGAGGAAAAGAGTCTTTTCCTCTGTACTTTCAGGGTGGGCGCCTGCAAATTAGACTGACAAAGACAGATTCACTGGGGAAAATGCATACAAATTATATTGTTAATCTTTTCATTTTTTTCCATAAATGGAGGCCTTCATAAAAATCAATGAAGACCTAAAGAGGCAGTCCAGGTCAGGGAGGGGCTCGTATACCATTTTAACCAAAGGCAATAAATTGTGAAGAAGTAACAGGACAAAGGAAGCAGGGTTTGGGATTGGGGGGCGGTAAATTGTGGGAAAGTAAACATGTGGGGAAACTAATGGAAGCTAAGGGTTATTTAGACACATTTAGTTTACACAGATGCATCTCAGCACCATCTCCACCTCCCCTGATAAAGATTGTCCTTTCCTTCCTGGTACGGGAGAGGGGGACACCTTCACAAGCGAAATTCCTTCCCTGCTTTTAGGCAGATGGGGAGGGCAGACAGCTATTCCTGTGTCTGCTGTCTCTTAATTGCCTTCAGCTCAAAATAATCTTTATGCCAAAGTGACATATTTTGGGATGACATATTCTGATTTCCTTCAGTCATAATATATATGGAAACTGAGACTTCAACAGTGCTGTCTACTAGAACTTTCTGTGATGATGGAATATTCTCTATCTGTACTGTCCAATATGGTAGCCACTAGCCACATGTGTCTCTTGAGTACATGAAATGTGGCTAGTTCAACTGAGGGGCCGGATTTTCAATGTTCATTAACTTAAATGGGCTCATGTGGCTAGTGTTGACCCTCTAGACAGTAGAGCTCTAGAATAGTAGGAACCTAAACAGATGGAGAGCGTCAGCTTCGTTCTGAGCAAGCGTGCTTTCACAGGGTGCTGTGCCAGGCACTACCCAGTGCTCCAGGCCACATTTCCTTCTGGGATGTTTGCTTTCTCATTTACTTTCATAATTACCTGGGTGCCCTCTGCTGTTTCTGGAATAACTGTGTTTTGAAGTGACCTTGGAGTGAGCAACTTTGGAGGACAATCAGTCCTATATACCCTGGTTAGCTCAGAACTAACCATTGTTATCAGATGGTTCTGTATTTAGGTCCCATCCATCACACTTTATTCAAGCAGAACTTCTGCTGAAGGCAAGTTAGAAATTAACCTGGGAGACAATTATGGAATTGTATCTCGGCAGTGAGAGGATCATAAACCTTTCTGGATTCTTGACTCACCATTGTTTCTGCTAAATCTTTTCTTCTTGGCAGAGATGATATCTTTAGGCATTGCCAAGAGCTGATGTCTAACATTCACATTTATATTCTATGTTACAGTGAAGATGACCAGGAAAACCAGGACTAGATTTGCATGGGTCTGAGGAAGATGTGGGCAAAATGGCAGGTGGCCTTGAAAATGAGAACAGTGAATTTAAGTCCAACCCAGGAAGCGTAGAAACCTAACAAAGCATGTTAAGGAAAGGCTTAGAACCTCTGCTTGGTTTGTGAACTTAACGATTTTATGGGTCTGAATCATTCCTCATAACTGACTCAGGGGCAAGTGAAAAAGAGAGAAGTCAGGCTGGATTCTGCTTAGGGGATATGGTGCTATTAAGTTCAAAGCAAGATTTGGCATCATTAACAAATCTTGGGGAGAAAAAAATGGTGAAGTCAAATTTTATGGAGGAAAATCATTTGCTTACTCGCTAGGCATGTGAATTACTAAGTAAAAGTCTGAGCATCAGGTTACTCCCCTCCCTCTAGGAGACGCGGAGAACACTTAGAGAACGCGAGTAGTAAGGATGCAGCCTGTGGGCTTAGGAGCGCGAATGACTACTTCAGAAAACAGCAGAGCACAACAGCCACACGGTGTGCCTCCACTCGACAGGCCAAAGGAAGAACCCAAGACAGGAGCCTCAGAGAGCAAGGCGGTGTGGGGACCTGGATTTGGCCACCCCAAGACATGTCTCTTTGGCATGATGATTATTTGAGGCTAGTTTCTTTGCAGACAGGAAAGCAACTGAAAAGTAGAACTTGCTTACCCTTTTGTTGAGACATTTACATTGTAAAGGAAATCTCCATCTGTAAAGATATCTCCCTCTCTGTGCCAGGAAAAACGGAAATGGCCTTATCTCTAGAAACTCCTATCAATACAGAATGCAAGGACTTAAATATGCATAATCTTATTCCTGTTTCTGGTAACCTCCTGTAACTGACTCCCCCCACCCCAACATCTTCCTTTGTCTTTAGATATTTAAGGTGGGGGCTTCAGCCATTTTGACGAGTTGCTCAGCTTGCCTGACCTCTCCCACATATACATGTTATAAAGCTTTGTTTAATTTTCTCTTGCTATTCTGTCTCATGTGAATTTAATTCGTTCTCCGGCCAGACGAACCCACTTTGGACAGAGGAAATGTCTTCCTCCCCTACAACGGACACAGCGTTGCTTCTGTGGAAATCGAGAGACGTTCTAGGTCTCAGGCTTGGTGCCTAAGTTTCTAACCTGGGCCATCATGATATGGTTATGGATGGAGATTTAGTTAGAAGGTTGGGAGGCAGAATAAGTATGTCAATGGCTACTTAATTCACTTCAACCAATGTGTATTAATTCTTCACGTGCATGGGGCACCCGCGAGGTGCTGGGGATAAGAGCAGGAGCAAAGCAGTCGCTGGCCTTGCCTAGCAGAGGTCGGGTGTGCTCACAAATCACGCAGGGTGCCCACTGCCCAGGCGGCAGGCAGTAGAGCGCTGGGAAAGAGGGAGAATAGCAGTGTCGGCAAACCGCCCAAGAGCCGTCTCCTCCTCCTTTCTGGTTGGCGGAGATGTGATGCTGCTCTTGACCCAGGAAGGCTGGCTCTCTCCCAGGTCTGGAGGCTAATCCAGACCCATCTACCCCAAGCACCAGGGTCCCACTTCCCTTGATGATGTTTATGCATGAGCGATGAAGTCCTGGCCACTATGCTGTGAGGGAGGCTTCCCAGAACGGGTTCTTTGCTCTTAGAGAGACGTGGGTGGGTATGGTCCCGTCTGTACATGACCCCTGGACCTGGGCAAGCCATCTCGGGGCCCTGAGGGCATCTGGCCTGAACATGAGCCAACAGGCTGAGGAGGGCAGGTAGAGAGACGGAGAGAACCGGGGTCTTCAGTGATGCTGAGTTAGCCAACACTGGACTGCCCTGTGGGGTGACCAGCTGTCCAGTTCGCCCAGGACTTTTCCAGCTATAGCACTAAAATTCCCACCTACACACCAGGCATTGTGCTGAGAGCTTGACGTAGATTTATTCTTTCTTCCTCACAATGATTTTTTTTCTCAAACTTTTTATTTTGAGATAATTGTAGATTCAACATGTAGTAGATAACATGTACAATGTAGAATCTTTTCTGCTGTACCAGTCAGGACACCCTGTTCAGTGATGAGTAATAGGGGTTATAGGTGACCTTGTCTTGGTTTTGACTTTAATAGAAATGCTTTTAGTTAAAACAGGAAGCATGATGTTTGCTTCTGATAAATACCTTTTTATCAGGATAAGGAAAATCCCTTTTATTCCATGTTTGTTAAGACCTTTTTTTTCTTCTTCTGCGTCTTCTCCCCCTCCCGATAAGCCCCTGGGCAGTCTGCAAAGGCTGCTGGGGGCCCGCCATCTGGGATCACAACCTCCCCAAAGGCATTCTCTTTCTTCTGCAAGACAAACTCACAAATCCTCGAGACCCACGTCACCCCTCAAGTCAAACAAGAAAACAGCAAATTGACAAGATTCACCTATGTCTGTGTAGGAAACAAGGTCAAAACACAATCATGTTCTTATTGAATATCTGCTGTAACCCCCAGGTACCTGGGTCAATCTCCACTATCTTTTTTTCACTTCCTCGTTCCTGTGGGAAGCAGGGCATTTGTTGTTCCAGCTGAAAGGGAGCAAAGATGGGGAAACTAAGGAAGGAAATTTTTAAAATACTCTCGGGTACCTGGTTATGTTTTGCATTATCATAATTTGAGTGTCTTTATCGGCAGTCTTAGAGCAGCACCTTGTTCCATATTTGATTAACCAACTTCCCAGAACACAAAATGCAAGAACCCAATTCATTTTACCCATCTGACTGTTCGGTGTCGGCTGTCTTAACTGGGAACAGCAGCCTAAGGTCTTTCAGCGGCTCCCAAGACCAGTTTTTTCTCTTTTCCACTTCTGAGTGCTCTGGCTGTGGGGGGACCTCACTCAGGTGTGCTGAGTCCGTGGCTTGATTCCAGAGTTATCTGACTGGTGAATCAGTGCTCGGGAGGACTTCAGAAGGCCCTGTTTCCTTGGGGGCTAGGTGATCCTCTGCTCCATGCTCCCTCCAAGACTTAAGGAGACCCTTGCAGGGGAGGGAGACATTTCCTCTACCCTCTCTGGGTTCTTCT